CCCTGCTTAGCTTCTGAGATCTTATGTCAGTCTCACAGGCAGGTATTTCCACGTAAACATTCACATTATCCTAAGACCCTAAATGATCATAAAGAAGATGTAGGATATTAAGCGAATGGAGGATCATTTGGTACTTTTAGGCTGTGAGGTGCAGATGAAACTCTATATTTGTATTCTAAAGTTGACAAAAATCACTAGATTTTCCAACAGCTTCAAGACAAAACCTTTCTAAGAGTAACTTTGCTGCCATCTACTGTTTGCAAATTGAAGTCAAATAGAAGCAGTTTTAATAATATAGGTATATATTTATTTATACATACATATTCATTTATATCGGTTAATTGTTAAAAAAAAATAAAGAAAAAAAATAGGAAAGATTTTACAGTATCAACTACAGTCATTGTCAAAGTTGAAATCTCAGGTCTGAACGCTCACCATATTCACTTTATTTGAAAGAATGATTTTTCCAGTGTTTTGAATAAAAAGAAACAGCAAAACATAATCCGTAGTGTAAAATTGTTGAAGCCATTTTCTTCAGTTTCAAGGAAAGTGACAATGAATTGTGGGAATATTTTCAACCCTTAGTAACTATACAACCTATCAGACTTCTCAACATTATCATTGGACCAATAGGATTTTTACAGTGCATTTTGTAACCACAGACCAACACTATGCTTTACCAACACTGCTACACTGGGCTAGCCTGGTCAACCACAGATTATATTATGAGGGCAGAGCTAAAGTTAAAAAGTACAATTCAATTCAGGGTTAGAAATGGATGCATCAAATATTTGGGGAGATAATCCAGCCTCATCAAAAATGCTTAGGTTATTTATTTTGGGTCAAATAATTTATTTTCTCTGGTAGAGCCTCAAGTAGCAGAATGGGCGGGCACGCAGACTTTGGAAACAGATGTGTGGAAGTACGATTGGCATAAAGCAGCAGATTGGGAGGTGACATTTACAAGAAAAATGTCAGAATATGAGTGAAAATTTAGACAGAATTTGCATTGGCAGTAAGTTCATTTAGCATATCAAAGTTTTGCTCAGATGTTTTGAGCAGAACCTTCTAATTATTCATTCACAAATGATTTTTTTAACAACGTTTAAGTTTTACTCAAAGTTTACGCTCAAGAAGACCTTGTGCGAGGATTTGGGGCTGACCAGGCTAGTGTCACGTCTCAACTGGTTTCTGGAAAAGCAAGGCAACAAAATTAAAGGGAGAAAAGCTGGGTTTTGTGGCGACCTCTGCCGAGTTTTGAGTCTTCTCCGAGATGGAAACTTTCAGGATTTTTCACTCCTCCACATCAAACCTGTACCACAATTGCACAAATGCCAAAAAACTCCCCATTCCTTCCCCCAAAAATAAAGACCAGACATTTCACATTACACTTAAAAAAAAAAGAAGTTGGAAGGGCTATAAAACAATCTTAATCCGGATACACTGAACTGAATTTTCCTGAAACACAATTCAAACCACGGCAAAAACAGAAAATGCCACAGAAGAGAAGAAAACTAGAGAAGGAAAAGCAGAAAATGGGACAGAAAAGCAATAAAATACAATTAAAAAATTAAATAGGACAAGTAGAGGGCGGGGAGGAAATCCAAACACAGTGACTGCAAAAATGAATCCACATAGATTAAAACGTAAGATTCATCCAAATTTGAGTTTCTATGGATTTGTTTAGTTCAGTTTAACTGATGTTGATTTTCAGGCGTCTTTCAAGTTGATGAAAAACCTTTATAAAAAACCTGGCAGTAGAATTGCAGACAAATCTTTTGTAGGAGGTCATTTGTGTTAAATCAGAGAACATTTCTCAATAAGCAAAAAGGTCGGTAAATATTAAGTGTGATAAAATGATTCATTGTTTGTAGCTAGATTCGGAAACTTTGTAGTGATCTTTTATGACATGTGTTTGTATAATGCATGATGCACAGAGCCCCAAAGCATTGTGGATGTACGTATAGCTAATTGAAGTTGTCAAATAATTCCACTACCTTGATGACCCTTGACTCCAACCCTAAGCCTGTTTATGGATGCATTATTTGCCTGTTTGTATATTTCAAATTCAAACTAGATGTATCCAGTTCAGTTAAAACTCACGATGAATATTCCACAGATATTCTTAACCTATATTGATTAATCTTTGCAGTGTGCGTTTTCAATGGCTCACTGTCGTCCATTGTGGCCCTCCACCCGTTAATCCTGAGGCCAATTTTGCGCCTCCATTGTTCATGAATCGTCGTTTCCATCCGCAGCAAAGTTGTCCTTAACAAGGCATCATGGGAGTCCAAGGATCACCATCACTTCAAATGAAAAAAGGAACTTTTCTTCGATTGCGAGTCTTTTTGCATTGTCCCGGCTGATACGTTACATAATAATGTCTTTTTTTCCCTCCTTTCCATCGAACCAACATCTTATTTCAAAGTCCAAGATGTTTGGCATTTTTCTTTACACATTTTTCAATCTTGTTTTCAAATGGTTCAAAATAACCCGCTCATTTGCATTCATGTTCTGTCTTCGCTGGTTTAGACTCTTGATGTCCTTGTAAATTCAATTCTTAAAAAAAACTATAGATGTTACATGCAACATTTGGCATCGTCTCCATTCTCTGCGCATAGGCGAGTCAGAAATCCATTTGCGTAGAAAAATATCTTCTTTTTTTGTGTTATTTCTTCTGATTGTAACAGAGAGACAGAGAGAGGCGCGTTGGCAAAGCAGGATCGAGATTTCAATCCAGAATTCTTTTGTGTGTTAGTAAAATGTAAGTCTCTGCCTCTATTCTATAATATAAAGTGTCAAGTTATTATGTATAGAAGCACGTTCACTGAAAACAACCAAAAAGTCCAGTAGGTTTGAATATTTGAACGATCAAAAGTGCATTATTTAATACTTTATCATAATTATTGATGCATATAGAATGGCCTTAGTGTGCAAACTTAGCACTATACATTCAAACCTATGTGTACAATAGTTTTCAATGGGGTTTTCAACATCAATGAAATGTCCCAATCAGGCACCTGTAGTTTGGGCTTTGAATAATTGTAAATCTTAAGTCATTTACTGTATATTTTTGAGTATCCAAGCAATAATCTATAATGGAAAAACGATAATATAGCTAAACTAGAATGATGAATTACTGAATGGTTATCCACAGTGGCAGCAATTTGATTTCTTCTTACATTCATTCTATAAATATATATTTTTGTAATTCTTAAATTATGATATTCAGATAAAATTAAGGCAAGAAATCAGACCTGTTTACGTGTTTTAGAAATGTTCAATGCATTTATCCCCAATGTCGCCAAGTCTGTGATGTTTATTCACTACATTAAGACGATATTTAGACCTACTGGACGTTTTAAGCATCGCTTGAGCCGCTTCTATAGATAACCAAAGTGCAAACATCTGCAAAGGTATATATTTTTAAAACCCCCGAAAGGTTTTCTGCTGTTTTCTTGTCTTTTTTTTTTTTTTAAAGGCATCACATGAGTTCAAGGACCAGTTCTGCCTTTTGTGGCAATAATTAACACCACTGTTGTTACTACAATAGGTCTGATTGCTGATCTCGTCTTTCGAGGCAGCAGAATGTCGACCTTCGAACACTGTTGCTGGATGCATGTGGCGGATCAATATCTTTCAAAGTGCGAAATAAGTCGAGTGAATCTGAAAATGTTGTACAATCCTTGGTTGTAAAATTACCAATGTGAATTTGACTGTAATGTTAGATTGCTTCTATATGACCTTTATTGACTCAGTGCTAAGCCTCCAGTAGATTCTGCATCCAAATGAATAAAATTACCTAGTTTCTTGCACTTCCTTCCCATTCTGATTGATCTTTGTAGCATTCAATGTGACATAAGTGGCACCATCTTAAAACAATTTTCAATTTCACTCATAAAGTGGTCCATTTCAACGCACAAAGAAGAATAAGGAAGGATAAGGAAGAAGGTAATTTTGCTGAAGTCGGATGCAGCCACAATCTTCATTGCCGTATAAGTGCAAATTTGGACAGCCACAATTAGACTTTTTCAGTCACAAAGCCAACAACCGCTATCGGTCCAGGATAAATGTAGAGGTGGGTGTCTGGATTATACAAGAAGTGTTTTGTAACTTCTTACTGCTATAGGTGAAGTTTTACAGCTGTGCTCTTTGTCTGAGTGAGTGACATCAACTTTAGAGTGTGCTATTAAACACCAATCTCTGATCACAAATCTAGAGCTCTCTGTAATGCTCTATGTAATGTACAAATGAAAAAGCTTGAGAAATGAGAAACCAAAACTTATTGCAACTAATAACATGAACCTCTACATACTATGAACAGGTTTTCAGATTCAAAACTAAAAGTCTACTTTTACGGATTTTTACGAATTGAAATAATGACCTAATGTGACTGGCTGGTGGCTTCGGTGATATATCATGGTTATTGTGTACAGTCAAAAGTGCAGTGCCGTCTTACAATAACGATCAAATATCAAAATACGTGGAAGGAGCTTAGCAGTAGGTCAAGAGTCGGCCTGTCACAATAAAGACGATATTGACTCATCGTTCATTAAATGTTAGCTGTGTTTGGAGCTAGATATTTATCATTGATACATATTCTTTGAAATTGTGTGAAGCTTTGGTTGTAATCCAATAGCTTTTTACCTGTAGAAGATTGAATAAGTCACTTTTCGGGCTAATTATTGCTTAATCATGTTGAATAAGTCAATAAACTGGGATTATACTGTTATATTGTAAATGTGAAAGTGACATAAACTAGTGGCAATATTATCTCATTATTTCTCATAAACATCTCTGACAGTGTGTTATGGTGACAGGCCTGGTCAAAAGCGTTCACCTATCCATCAGCTTCTATAGTGTTTGTGGTTTGGGAATGTTTTGGAATTTCACCCGGGATTCTGTAAAACGTCGTCATTTTGAGTCTCTCCCTCTCTCTCTCTGCAGGTCCAGAAGGGAAAGCATTGGGGGCTGGGTGTGAGGGGTCTGCAGTCTTTGCATCATAGGAGGACGCAGCAGCGGCAGAATCTCTGACGACTGCCCCCCACAGACGGAGGGGGGGTGACCGGGGCGAAGTACGCGTGCACTTTGATGTTGGGCAGGTAAGTCTGTGGGGGAAAAGACAAGACTATTACAAAAGACATTACGACAGTCATGTTGATCTGAATGAATGTAAAAAATATCTACGCACTACTGTTACTAAAGCTGGGGCACCTTTTTTTCATAAATAAGACATTATATTTCGTAAAATAGAAAGAGTTGTGTAAAAGTAAACATTTGGGAAACAACCAACTTTTCTTTTACATGTAAGAAAAAGCCCTAGGAGTCACTATTTGATGGAGAGTTGATTTTTGTGTCTGAGAAAGTTAATTTTATGATGTGGCAGAATACATTCATATGCATGTGAAACCTTGCTCTAGTTACAAACGGTTTAGACTCTGGGATCTAGTTAGATGGATTTTTATAGATGTGTGTGGTTTGAAAGTTAGGCACCCCAGCTTTAATTTAATCTCATCACATTAGTCATTTACTGGAAAAATCTAAACAAGAGCTAATATGATAATACACTAAATCCATTTAACTGCACTTTAACAATGCTAGATCTAATCACAAAGAATACAAATTAAATAATAGGAAAACACTTCAAAAAGGGAGTTACTCTTTGGGTCTTTCTAATCAACAGATTTCTTTTCAGGTATTGGTCATTTTCTTTATCATCAACTGTATTTGGTTTTCATTCCAAATAGAGTCTACAGATATATTTTTTCCCCATAAACGCAATGAGAACGATAAAAGAAATGGCGAGACTAAATAGTGAGCCCGTATTACACCAATTCAACGCTTATCAGTGAACCCTAATTTCCATTTCAGCGATTGACAAACAATACAAAGGACTGTGATACTGGCAACGCAACAGCTCAACAAAATTAGATTACATTTTGAAATGACTAAGCGCTGGTTTTTCTGATGACACCTGTGTTAAAACCTCGGGCTAATGAGGCAGCAGTCAGAGCGCACATCCCCTTCACCTCCAGAGTGTTTTGTAATCATGATTCAATGTTTCTGTGGGTGGACAAGAGCCACTGACTATCCACTTACATAAAAGAACACACTGTAATTACGGAAAGGATTAGGACAAATAATTCGGACTGCTTTTTGAACATTGGAAAAAGAATGCTTAATGTGTGCGAGAAACTTTATATAATTGGTTGCGGTGGTTAGTTACCTAGTGGGAAATCAGAGTTCTGAAAGATGTATAAGTTTTTGATACTTTGACTCTAGTTTACTGATATTTATGCGTTTAGAAAAGTGTTTGGGTGTTGGGTCAGGATGCAACAATACCGATACTGGCCTTTGGTGGAGATCCAGGAAGCTTAATTTGTTAGATTTTTGGTTCCACTGGTTCTGCTAAAGATTTAAAGTTGTTTTTTTTCAGTCTTAAAAACAAGAACATTTCAACATACTATACCCAACAATTTGATGACTCTGGGTTTTCATTTTTCGTGGTTCAAAATTGATTTAAGTCTGGCAAAGTCCTGATTTATACCTGGTTGGTAGTCCAAGATTCGTAACTGTTGGAGAAATTGTTATGTGTGATTAAATATTTGCTGTTTAATGTTGAAAGTGGTGTTGTATAATTATCCAGCTTAGTGCACAACAATTCGGCCCTTGGGAATAATAAATTGAATAGCCCTGACTGTAATAAGCATCTTTGGGGTAAATACATATTAAAAAACGCTATTGGACTCATTTGGGTCAGCGGTGATGTGATTGGTATCAGTATAATGAAAGCAAAAGTTCTGAAATCTGCCATGACAAACCTGGATCTGGGCTTCTCTTGTACTGGGTGATTTTGTTTTAACCTCTCCCTACCATACATACAGTACATTTTATTCATAGTCTAATATGTGTGAGGATATACTACATGTTTAAACCACAACCATTTATTTGAAATGTCAAATTAAAGTGTCTGAATAATACGTCTAAGGTCGCTGTACTGTAAACAAATAAACATTGAGTAATAGCACTTCTCATAGGAGTACATCTGTGACTCAGTGCTCACTTCAGTACCTGATGCTTATGTTTCAGGTGAATCATCTAAATGAGTGGTAAAAGGGCATCGCTGCTGCTGCTGCTGAGAGATTCAAATTTGGCTCCTTCCCCTTTTAGTGTAGCGGTGCTCGTTTGGATGTAGGCTGGTTTACACCTAAATTAGGGCTTTACAGTTTCAATAACAACTGTGTTTTTTTCACGAAAGACAATAGTTTCCATTCCTATTTCCACACATTTCATAATGCATTGAAAACATGCAGCAAGGCAAGCATTAAGTACTTGATTTATGTGTTTTGCCTTTCTATGTTGGAATCCAAAATGCATATTCTAAATCGAAAATAAATCTTTCTAAAGCCATTACATTTCCACACTCTGTCTGAGGCCTGGATTAGAACACTCTCTCCTAGTCTAGTCCCTTCTTTTGCTGTAGGCCCCGCTGTAGTCCTGGCTAGTCCCCGCTGTAGCCCTGGCTAGTCCCCGCTGTAGCCCTGACTAGGCCCCGCTGTAGTCCTGGCTAGTCCCCGCTGTAGCCCTGGCTAGTCCCCGCTGTAGCCCTGACTAGGCCCCGCTGTAGTCCTGGCTAGTCCCCGCTGTAGCCCTGGCTAGTCCTGACTCACCCGTAGCCTCTTGATGCCTGCGCGGGTGATCTGTTGGCAGTCGTACAACTCGATGCGGTCCAGGCTGTGGCAGGTCTTGAGGTGTTCCAGTGACGCGTCTGTGATGAGGGGGCAGTTGTCCAGCTCGATCACCTCCAGACGGTCGTGAGCACAGGGGCCGCTCCCCAAATGTCTGATTCCGTCGTCTGTTATGAGCTCACAGTGAGACAAACTCTGTGAAATCATAAAAATGGAAAATATTGGGTTATAAATCACGATCAGAGCAAACTTGAGCTGTAAAAACTACAGCAAGAGTTACGATCCCTTTACAAGCTTGTTCTCAAAGTGTTTTTTATCGGATTGTTTATATCCCATGAAATTAAAGCTGGAGGACTTTGTTGTTGTATAAATTCCTGTTGTTTGTCCCAACAACTATGTGTCAAAGTAACATTTTGTAAATAAAGGTAGAAGAAACCAGAGCGCAGACACAGGGATAATATGAACTCTACTAAGAAAGGACCTCTTCATACCAGGATTCGAACAAAATACCCCAAGAGCAGAGTGCTAATCATTCGCCCAAGCTGTAGCAGTAAAAAAGCTGATCTAATAGATGTGACAAATACACAAATGTGAAAAGCGTTAGAACCAAAATGTTTTGACAGCTAATTGCAAGGATTTGATTACATTTATGTTATTTTGTGGTTTCAAAGGTACTGTAGGAACTCCAGCTTTAACTCTGTTGTTCAGAAAGTGTGCCTTTTTATTCATGCAAATGTGTGCATGAACATACCAGGACTTGCAAACGTGGGCAGTGGATCGACAGCTGGATGAGGGTCCCGTCTGTGATCTGATTGAACAACAAAAGGGGAAATCATTCAACAACCTGTGGCTAAAGAGCAAATATACATTATTTATAAATCACACATAATGAAGTTACCTGAACACATTCTTCTAAATCCATCTTCTCCAATTCATGACAATTCTGCAATGGAACCATCACAAATAAGTAAGAACATAAACAACAAAGTTCCCTCGTCATTCTTATGCACATGTAAAACTGTGCTTTGACCCGTTCAGCACAACTATAGGCCATCCTTACCATTATTTATTATTTATGTTACAATTCATTGCCCTTTTTGATTAAAATGTGCCAGGAACTAATGTAATTTTCTTTATGGATCAATAAAGCTTGTCCAAGTCCACACACATTACTTTGGCTTATGGATCCAATACAAGTCTTTGTACGACGATCTTAATATTCGAAAAACCTCAGGCTATCGTAGAAATGCATTGCTTTTTGAAATGTGCAGCGGATGAAAAACAAATTAAACAAATTGCTGAATACAACCAAATAATCCGTTTATTCGCTTCCTCTGCATTTTATGATTTTGATAACTGGTAAAACTTGTGGGACACATCGTGAAAAGATGGTGAGTCAATGCGCTATCAGTAAACGGTCAAAGAAATTCTTTATCTGTGGTTTCAGAACCCTTATTGATGGAACACTGCAGAGACATGTTCTAACACTTTTCAAGCTTGTAGGGTTTGGAAACTAAATCACGAATCTCAAGTTGCTTTTGTAGCCTTTGGTCAGAAAAGCAGGACACACACTCTCACCCGCGCTAATGTAGTGAAGCCGACGTCTGTAAGCTGAGAGCAGCGAGCCACTTCCAATATTCTGTGGACAAAAACAACAACAGAAGTTTCAAAATCCTGTCGCTTCACTTGCAGGAAGAGCAGTGACAGACTGAAGAGATATGGAAAAGTTAAAAGGTCTTGTTTGGAAATATACGATCAATAATTAGTAAGTTTTTGTGTTTTGTGTAAAATCAGGAGGGAGTTTACAGAACTGTTGTCCATGCTTCCTCTAATGTTAAAATATAGGCGGTAAATAATAGTTATGAATAATAATAATATATGAAAAAAGAGCAATTTTAACTCAATTCCCACAGACAGACCGTTGAGAAACTGCCTCTTTCCGTTGCTGTATAGAGTAAAACTGGGGTAGCCAACTTTCAAAGCACAAATTTGTGTTACCACGTTTTCACATGCATTTTTCATACGGAGAAAAGTGACAAAAAGAGGACCCACCCTCACTCGGCCAATCAGCTCTCAGCCCAAAGTATCAAGTAGTGACTCACAGGGCTATTTCTTAAATATATTCAAAAGATAAAAGGTTTTCTAATGAGATGAAGACAGCTTTTTGTGGTATGATTTGTTCAAAACATTTTACCTTTACAATAATCTTTCTGTTGGGACAAAGACAATATATTATTTAAGAAAAGAAAAATACATTTTGGTACCTCAGCTTTTAAGTTGGGAACCATTATTCAATAAATTGTGTAGCCCAATGGTATGAGAGGAAACAGGAAAGAGCTTGTCCACTGGAGATCCTAATATTAAAAACTTAATGCCCTGTTTACAGTAACACAAGATTTGTACCGGCAACACGAATACTCTACTGGAAAGGTCTAATTTGGGTCAATACACGCATTATACATTTTTGAACAGTGGAATTCAGTTTCTGACGATACTTGCTTCACAATAGCAATAATATGAAACCCCAAAATAGCAGAGGTACCTGAGGCGGGGGCAGTTCTGTCCCAGGGCGTGCAGGATGGCGTCTGTGATGTTGGCACAGCCCGACACGCAGAGAGACTGCAGCCGGTGGCAGCCGCGACAAATGGTGATGAGGCCTTCGTCTGTGATCTGCTGCTCCAGACACAGAAAGAGTCACCATCATGAATCAACATTAGAGCTGGGAGAACAAACCCAGCAGCAGATTAGAATGTTGGGATACATCATTCACTGTTGCATCAAGGGAAGGACATATATGAACAACTGCATGTTTATTATGATATTATGTCAATCCAACAGAAATATGATAAAGCATGTTTTGTTCATTTTAACAATCAGCCATAGGTGACACTACTCTAAAATTGCCTACAAAAGTGCAGGGATATTTTGCATATTTGAAAAACATAAATTTGTTGTACATTTTCAATTAGAGCTGCTCCACAGATGAAGTAGTAAGTAGTAGTAAGTAGTAGTAGTAGTAGTAATCTTTATTTATATACCGCCTTTTCACTGCAGATCTGAGTCTCAAAGCGGTTTACAATTGTTAATTTTTTTGGGCATTTGTCTCTCACTCCACACAGAGATGGGAGCGGGGTCGCCAGTACAGGAGGCGCATGCTAGAACTATTGGACATATTTTTAGTGGTAGGGGAAACCGGAGTACCCGGAGGAAACCTACGCAGACACGGGGAGAACATGCAAACTCCACTCAGAAAGGCCCTGGTCCGACCGGGATTCGAACCCAGGACCTTCTTGCTGAGAGGCGAGAGTGCTATCCACTCAGCCACCGTGCCGCCTCAAACTCAGTATTAACATATTTAAGATGTTTAAAACTACACCCGCACTTATATCCATTTCATTGTTATCTGCTGAAAAATAGAAGAAACCTTTAGGATATGGTTATCATCATCTCATTTGTGAATCTACCTATGGGTGTGTTCTTTAACCAAATATGATAAGTTTAATTCCCTTAATCAGAATTAGAATCAGAATCATTTTTATTGCCACGTAAGTAACAGAAGTCACAGACTAGGAAATTGCTTTGGCTCAGTGCAACAGTCAAAAAGAGATAATAAAAATAAGAATAAAAAACACTACTAAAGAATAAATTTAAATTTAAAATAGAGTTACAGTTACTATTTACAGTATACAAGTGCACATGGTAGGGTTAGACCGTAGGTTGGTACATGGTAGGTTGGTACACATGGTAGGTTAAACCGTATAAAGTTCAATTAAATTCAAATTCAATGTATTCTTGTATCGCCCAAAATCACAAAACTAGTTATCCCCGAGGACTTAACCAAACTATTGAATTTGCCAACAGTTAAACACAAAAAATGCAATGATAAAAAACACACACACATAGAGCCATTGATCCATAAGAGGCAGGTAACCAATGTCCATAAATGTTGAGCTGCACAACACGCAGAGTCAACACTGCATGTCGTGTTTACTATAACGATTCAGAACGTATGGGACTGACTTACTGAGCATGTCTGTAAGTTGATTGTGACCAGCTCTGGGCAGTGGGCTCCAATGTGTTTTAAAGCCTCGTCCTCAAGCTGCAACACAGTTTATTAGACACATTTATTACGTTCATAAAAACCCACACACACTTGTCGCTTGTTGACATATCAGGGCCGCAGCGTCTGTAACGGTTCTCCAACAGGAAGTGAGCGGTCTGGAAACAAGAGGAAGTCTGAGCGGACGCAGCCAACACAAACTTTACGTTGGTTGAAATGACCATTTTTGGAACAGAAACTATTAGTAGAATGTCTGATCCAACAGTTTATAGCCGGCTGTTGACCCGAACAAGAGGAAATGTTTCTCATCTAATCTTCACATTCAAGAAGATGAAAGTCGATTGAAAAACAACAATAGCACAATTTGGACCAGAAATAAATATCTTCATGTTGGTTTTCTCTGTACAAATAAATGGTTTAAGTTCATGATCAGAAAAGATCAGAGAATATTTATACTGTCATAAAGTGCGGAAGTTTCAGTGTTGTCACAGAACAGAAGGAATGTAGGAGAACTCAAACAAGACAAATGAAGAATAAGATAATAGCTGTAATATTTGGAGAATAATTTGAGTATTGATTTGTGTAAAGATTAATTGTAAGGCGTTTGATGATTTTCTGTTTGTTGAGGTTTTACTGTGGGATCCTACTGAATGCAAATACTGGCTACATGTTTTACACCAATCAGAAATACAAAATTATACAAAACAAAACAGATACAAATAAGTTCTGTGGCGTTATACTAGAAAGACTCAACATTCAATTGTGTTTACAGACAATTTAACACAAATATTTTTCTGACATTTTTAGAACAATAATAAATGTTTTTTTAAAGAAAGTGCTACATCCTAAATTTGCAATCAGTAAGTCACTTTTTAAACTGAGAAAGAATATGTAAAAGGTTTAGCACCATCTAAATGATATCGATCATAGGTGTGTTTTAGTAAAAGCGGTGGTTCACACACAGTTATAGACAACTACCCCTGCAAACACTGTTGTTATTGGGCTGTTGTTATGGTTACCAGATTGGGCCAAACTGCCTCAGACTCCCAAAGAATGCAGTGAATCATTTGTGTTGTTTATAGTAGCCACAACAAACCTACTGTGAAATACATGAACAACGAGAGGTCTCCACCTGTGTGCAGCCTTTAAGGAAGAGTCCTTTCAGCCCCGGACATGAGCGGACCAGCGCCTGGATGCCGTCCTTTGTCACCTGGTCACACCACGAGATGTTCAGCTGCTCCAGGTTTGGACAGCCCTCACTGAGGAGACAGGAAAAAACATGTTAGAATGGGAAGAAGTGAAATGTACCAACTTGTTTTCAGAGGTGGAAAGCAAGTATAGTTTTTTTTTACTTAAAAACTATTCCTAAAGCTGAAAAAGAGTCACGTAAAAGTAAAATGCTGTGAACAAATCAGACCATTTAGAAACCATTTTAACTGTTGCATACTTGTAAAGAACAACCCTGTGAGGTCACTGTTTGACTCTTTGGGCTGAGAGCTGATTGGCTCCGTTTTTTCACTTTTCTGAACAGAGGCTAACAATAAATGCATGCAAAGACTAATGATAGAACTAGAAATTGTTTTAAGAACGAGGAACCCCAGCGCTAAGTATTTGTCGTGGTATCAGTACTACTTTTCAGTCAACACTTTGCTATCACTCCTCACCAACACAATTACTGTACTACTCCTTTTTTCCCCATTTTGCAGTGAAATAACTAATCGTGGTTGGCCACACCTCTGCATTCAGAAACCATTCGGCGCAAGTTGTTATACGTCTCAAATAAATAAAATCTGTCAGTTATTCAACAAAGTATACAACAATGATTTCAATACTTTTTTACTTGATTATTATACTGGTACATATACTTTTACCAAAGACTAGTACTTTTGCCACCTCTGATTGCTTTGACAGTTTTGTGCTTTTTGTCCTCACCTGAGAGCTTTGAGTGAGAGATTGGTGATTGAGGTACATGAGGCGAGGTCCAGATGCTTCAGTTTGGGGCAGAACTTACTCAAACTGTTACATGTGCTGCAAAGGAAAAAACACAGCATTTTAATGAAGTAGAATTAGAGTCATAAAAAAAACTGACTATTCACAAAGTTAAGTTATTGTTTATCGAGTTGACCAATCTATCATTAATTTAAGTTGAAAACTCTTTGGGCGGAAGAGTTTTTTGAGGAATTTGATGGGGAACAGACACAAAGGTGGAACCCAGAAATATATAAAAGACAAATATGTAATATAAAAGAAATATTTAGGGAAACATTGTGGGAGGCCAGGACACTGTAACAAAACTTTTATGCCTGAACTGTTAATATATTAACATATGAGTTAAATATGGTGGTTGATGATTTATAGATAGTGCCAGAAATTCAGTATTTTTGTTGCAGTTTTTAAGAATAAAAAACAGCCTTTTACAATATAGAAATGTCATTTAAAGTTGTCACAATAATAATAATATAGCGAGCAAGTAAGATATCTGTGTTTTAAGTATAGGAGATAAAGAAATGTGTTTAAAAAAAAAAAAAGAGTAAATACTGTAGCTCACAAACCTGTCAGTGATCTTGGTGCAGCCATTCAAACTGAGCAGCTCGATGTTTCTGCAGTTTTGGGAAAATGTTCTATAGAAAATGAAAGACAAAAAACAAGAAAAGAAAGTTAATATTTGATTAAAACAATTGAAGATGTTTTGTTTGTTTATGATAAAAAAAAAAAATAGTCTCGTTACTTCACTGTTTTAAACTATAGAACCTTACCCTCCACTCTTCCATAAATAGCACAATAAATAATGCAGGGTTTAGACATTGATTTTGAACATTCATTACATTCCTCTTATATACCAGTTCTCCCAACTCATGTTCAAACTGCTCCTATAATGGATTTTGTTGTGTGTTTTTAATATTAAACTAAGCTTAACCTCAATTGCCTGTTATTGCAATGCTTAACTTTTCAAAGAAACTCAGTAGATATAGATGAACGCACAACATATTAATGAAGCAGAAAAACTGTATGATTACAGAGAAACTGGCTTTGTAGATTCTAGCCGGAGCCATCACTTATGAGACCGAGAAAATCAGATTAGTGTGAAGGGCATGGATATTAGGCACAGTATTATTGAAGCGACATTGCTCTCATGAGAAAGTTACGCAAGATATTTTGGATTCCGTTTGGTCGATTAATTCACTTCACAGAGGCTTGTAACCCTGTGAACAAAGTGATTTTCTGTGGCTGTGTCTCCTCACCTTAAGGCGCTGTCCCCCACGCCCAGACACCCCCGCAGACTCAGCTTCCTCAGGAACCCCCCACATCGCTTTGAGATGTTCTCCACCACACGGCCCTGTTCAGAAAATACACATTTCCTTTACAAAACATGATTTATAAAAGGGCAGCATGGTACACTGAAAAGGGGATGACTGATGATGAGATGAACGGAACATTCTGTATCACAATGAAATAACATCAAATTTTTATGTCATCCGTATGTTAGAATGTCAACATATGTTACGACTTGGCTTATTGCGTATATGAATGGTTCTCAAAGTAAAACCAGATGAATGTGCACAAATTGAGTACAACAAATTTTGAAATCACAATATCACTAGAATTCCTCTTGCATTAAAAGGATACCTAAAGTAGGCCGCGTGTACCAAGTTTGCTTTCATGGGGGTCAGATATCTATTTGGATTGAATTTTCAAAATTATTGGACAGGAGGAAAGGGAGACCATACTGCTTTTTAGCTTAAAAAACAATACATTAAGATAATTTACAAGTAATCATTCATATCATGTGCTGACTAATTCAGTGCCTCCCAACGTGGGGTATGGGCCCCCTGAAGGGCCTCAGAGGCACTGCAGGGGGACCCCAAAGGTTGTCCACAGAACCAGTTATTAAAATTTAAAGCAGGCCCGTCAGTATAATGCGTCTGTCAAGTTGCAATTATTAAACAAGTACTGCTTTTTACAACTTAAAATCATGTATGGTACAGATATATTGGGGTCCTTGATGAATCTCTCGATCAGTAACAGGGGTCACAGACTAATGAATAAGTTAGTTGTCTGTCTGCTTTATTCATTTTGCCCCCCAGAGTAAACCAGTGTGGACACGACCACTTTAAATATTTTCTTACCTCAATGTCTCTCTGGAAATCAAAGAGGTCGATTCGCTGCCAGTTGCTGCCATCTAACGCGAGTACGTTCCAGGACTGAGGACAAAATGTAGAATTTTTAATTATTTTAATTATGGTGCCATATAAAAGTTAAATTTGTTTAACAATGTAACAGAATGCCAGTTTATCTCCTAGAGCATAATATAATCAATTGTTGTGATAATGCTGTGAATTCAAGGTCAAACTCCACGTTGGACCTGCTCCTTTTCTGACATCGTCAACGCTCCTCAGGGAAGCCAAATTTTGTAACTTTAATCAAAGTTGTTTTATCCCCTCTTTGGGCTCATGAAAGCACTGAAATACTTCTGAGCTATTTCATCATAGCCTGACAACTACAGTATTCATTGAATCCAAATATGTCACTCGAGTTCTTTAACGTAAAAAATGCTCTCATACGTGGAATGATAATTTTAACTTTAACTGTAGTAAGGCAATCACAAAGGGATGTACAAGGATATGTACACTTGTTATTAGAATTTCCATATACTTTTATTCACTAATGGTGGTTTAATTGTTTGATTTTCTAATCGTTTCCATTGCCAAATCTATGTTGTCAATATACATCTATCTATCTATCTGTAGCAGTAAACCATTTCCTCCTAGGAGGGTGGTTGACAACAAGAAGACATTTAAATCAATCACACACTCATTCATCCACATTCACACCTCAGGCAAGCAGCACTGCTGCCCGGTGCCACCACAATGGGGTCAGGGCCCTGGCTTTCCCGTTGGCCTTCAGCCAGGGGGCCCTACAGCCAAAACTGGTTTCCCTTTCTCATATGGGTCTCCCTCCCTGTGGGTTTCCCTAGTTCTCCTCCAAGGTTTCTCACTTTTTCCCACTGGGTTTTTTAAGAGTTTTTCCTTGTCGATGCAGGAGGGTCTTGTTGGACAGTTAGTGTCCAACAGAAAGGATTGGTGATGATCAGGACACTTTAGCATTCTACAACATGTATGGACATTTTCTTCTGTGTGTGCTTTATATTCTTCATGTGTTTTAACTGTTGATTCTCTGACCTGTGTTGGTGATTTCAATGGTTTTGTTAAGTCCTCTGAGATGACTTCTGTTGTGACCTAGGGCTATACAAGAATAAATTGTATTGTAAATTGTATTGTACCTCACTCGCTTCGTGTAGGCAGTGCACCCGCCAGGGTCGCGTCAGTTCATGCATTCAGAATCACTCTCCATTCTTCCCAATCTTGCGTGCAAACTCTCGCTCCCTCCACTGTCATACCTCTCATGCACATCACTATCTTCACGCCATCATTCCATCCATGCCGTGGTCTACCTCTCGGCCCATTACCACTCATGCAACTATTCATCACTCTCTTTGTCAATCTCTCTTCATTCATTCTCTGCATTTGCCCATCTGTGTGACAAATGCATTTGCAATGCACAATAAACTGAATCAAATCATTGATAGTAAATTCAAAAGATTGTCTGGGGGGCCAGACTCCTAAACAAATTATTTCTCTAGATTTTTTTTAGTAAGTATGTCATATTAAACTGACATTATAGTAATTTTCACAAAGCGTTAACTCTAGATTGGTTGTTATGGCCATTTTTCTGAACATATCTTCAAGAACTAAATAATTACAAGACTGTAGCTTTTAGGGTCACTGATGTATCCACTTTCACAATATGGGAGATATTAAAAGAACAGACACAACTATGGGTCAATTTACTCTGGTCTCTTCAGAACTACATCACACCTCCGCTTGAACCAAACAAAAAGTCCAAATGTCAAAGTGGCCTGTGCTTTTATATCACATTGATGGACAAAGTGAAAGTGAAAACTCACCCTGGAGACCTGAGCACAGCGGCAGAGCGTCACCACGTCCAGAAAAGAGAAGATTCTGCAGAAAAGGGTAAAAACAGCAGTGACATTTTAGACATTTTTCAACCGCAATTTGGCCTTCGCTCAACCCCCACACTGACACCCCCCCTCGGCACTGTGATGTGAGTAAACTGACTAATATTGTCTTTGCCCAGAAGCAGCAACAGCATCTCTACAGTATTAACACTTTCAGAAGATACGTTTTAAAAATACATGTTTTTATGAAGCTAAGACTTGTGTGGTGTCATTAAACAAGTGAGTTGATCTAGATCCTTTGGTTACATTTTCATAAACACCGATGCAAAAATGGGAGCCACTTGGAACTGAACCTAGACAAGATTGAGACAGGACTCAGGACTGAACCAGGATCACACAAAATGTATAAAACAAAATTAGGTCTACAAAATATTATGGAAATATCTACATAGCTTTGACGTAGACAAAGTTACAAATGACTTGATCTTGTTCACTTTAACTGGACAACCGGTAATTATTCTTGGGGTACTTTCCATTAAGTCAAATAATTGGTCAATTTGTAAACAAGATAGTGTCAGTTGAAAAAAAAAAGTTGGCTTGGACATTATAGATGACAGAATGGAGAATGAATTACTTTTGACTTACGGGTGGGCTAATTACGTTGACTACCCTGTATACATGGAAACCGCATGTATACAGGGTAGTAAACTTTCTCAGAGGACTGAGGACAGATTATAGAATCAAACAGTTTGAACACAGAAAATGCAATAAGAACATGAACTACTATACTATAGACATATATAGTACTTCTATACTACTATAATGTGAAATGTAATGACCATATGAAATCCCACCCCTTTCTATAACCAAAGTACTTTTGAAAATCCAAATAACTCCTCGCACCGCCTCGTTTCAGAGCATGTTTTCAATAATGTTGTTAGTGCACTATCAAACAAAAAAAATGAATCCCCATGCAGCGATATTAATTGACCACATTACAGAAACACTAACCTTGAGTGTAATAACTCCCTTGCATTAGCTCTTTAGTCGTTGAATGCCTCAATTATGAATGGAGCTTTAAAATGGTCTTTACTCAAGAAAATAACGGTGCTTCCAGAATAAATGTACTGTAATAAACATTAATAGATGCAGTGATACTTATAGTGTGCCATCTTCTCAGGTTTATTACAGCTACTTGTCAAGAGTGAACAGCCACAGTTCAACCAGAGACATGAATTACAGCCTTCATTTTCTGTTTACTCAGAGGTTCTTGTGGAGTTTGAAATCAATTTAAATGTTTTATAGCCCTCGGCATGTGTCTTTAATTACAGTGGGTATAAATAAGAAGCACATTTGTATTCAGGGGGGGGTTAGTGGTGAGGTTGAGACTTGTTGGTTTTGCTCATGTTTGCTAATGGCTAAGTAAGCGCAAGTTGATTGCACAGGTGGATGTCTGATGCGTGGTTGTCTGGGCTAATGAAAAACAAAATGCGTAGGTAAGCACATAGGACCTTAAAGCAACTATTAATTAATATGATTCAATAGATTGTCAAAACATTATGACAGGAGCAGAAACATGTGCAGATGATTTATTTGAGTGCAGAAATTGGGACAAACTCCAGAACTGAGCAGGACCAAACCAAGCCAGCATCGGATCTGAAAGCCAATCTTCTGTCAATACATGGGTTTTTTATCTATTATTTTAAATGTGACAAAAAGTATTTCTTTGGCAACGGTTTGGGCAAATGCAACTTTGTATCATTGCTGATCTTAAAGCATAGGTGAATTCTCTGATCTGAAACTAACTAAATAATTTCTACAACCCACCATCTGCACTCGGCTGCACATGAGGTGAGAGGTGAGCATGCGCGAAAACCAAGTATTTGTAAAGAAAAGTCCTCATTTAGGACCAAAAAGACAAGTGGATGGAGTTAACAGCGATGTTAAATGAGGATAATATTTTCATTTTGTTCCAGTTTGGATATAACGAGTGGGGCTTGATCTGGCTGCAGACCGCCGCAACAGAGAGAGTTTCTGCGCACTGGTTAATGTGAGACGTGGTAAAGAATGAGTAAAATGATTAACTCACCGTAGCAGCAGCTCTTTGGGCAGCTTCTTATTGATGACAGCCTCATCGCTGTTTGTGAACATCTGAAACCATAAACGCATAATGTCAGCGCTATTACTAATGGAGTACTTTAAATGAATCCCCCAGAGACCCTTAATCTGCACATTCCACTCAAGGACGACATGGCATTGGCTTTATGTTAACTGTTGAAATTGTGATCATTCATTCTTGGGTTTTGATGCCACGATCAAAACAGAGACTGTAGAAGGAGTTATTGCAGGAGATTAGATTGAACTTAAAACAGGTTCCATGGGCGGAAACCTAAGACCATATATTGGATGGCAAAAACTTAGCAACTAAAGAGCCAATCGCAGGAGCAGTTTTCAGTTTATTAATCTATTTCAGACATTTTTGACGATTTCAGGCACTTGGAAAAAAGGTCAAAATAAGGTCTGAAAAAGGAAAATGCAGAAGCGAGGGCATAAAGACACCTGCCCTTTAGTACACATGTTAAACTTAAATAGCGGCTACCCACAAATTAAAATAACACATTTACTCCATATATATATGTTTGAGTTAATATATAAAGTCTATTGGATTATAAAATGCATTTAGAACAGGCCTATGAAGCAAGAACATCTGGGCCAATCCATTTTATGCCTTAGGATTTGGAGCATAAATCTTGTAGGGACACAGAATGGGGTAATTGAGAACTGGGGCATTGTGTACAAATAAAATTAAACAAAAACGTGCGCCAAGAATCTGGGAATAAAGATCAAGTAATTGGCAAGTCATCATTTGCTATATATATAATGTTGTATATTTGCACTACAACATTACCAGTAAAGAAACAGTGTTTGTGCTTTATAGAATTACAAGCATGCCCTTATTGCTTTTTCCCATTACTGGTGAATGGAAAGAGTTGTAATGAAATTGTTTTTGTTGGTATTTTGTTGGCGATTCTCACTTACAAAATATACACTATTATAATATTATACGTTATATCCACTAATATAACGTATCAGCAGATCTCCAGCACTGATTTGTTATGACTGAATTAGTCCACTGTAACATTCTTTAGCAAAAACAACTAATACTGTATAATTTGTTTTCACTTACATATGAGAAACATTGCAAAGTAAAATCTGTTTGTCATTTTAATTATATATTTTGCAGGGGATATGTTATCCACGTGTGAAATAATATAAATCCAGATCTCTTACTTTGTATTGGTCCCATTGAGGTTTATATTGGGAAAGCCTTTACTAAGATCTATGTTAGAACAAGAATACATTCAAGACACATAAAACTTTTTCATCACAAAAAGGGTCATTTGAATCGTGAACTCTGCCTTCTACTTCTAAGCCTTATCCATATAAGAAAACCACAATACTAGAAAGATATTCTGTTATTGAGAGTAATAGAACTCGACAACCAAGTACAAGTAAGTTTGTGAAGTGAACTGTTGATTTTCATTTTCTCCAATGTTTGTGGCTGGACTAATAAAAATCAGCCATAAAATAGAATCTTTTTTTCTCTTGACCTTTTCTTTGCGAGGTCTCTGAGCTCACAGCTGCCTATGACAGGGGGGCGCCTGGCAGCAAAGACATGTAAATTCATATTGGCCAATAGTCTTGTCATGGTACAAAGCAGGACAAACAGACAGTGACAGCTCCACATCCAGAGATTTACCTTATGGCCAAAAAATGTGTGTTCGGCCGAAAAGAGGCAGATGTACAGTCAACGGGCATCGACTGTCTCCTTTTGTAATGCAACTAAAGTGAACCTGATGCTATGAATGTCAGCATTGTGTGTGTCCATTAGGCAGCTGCAGGGCCATGTGGGGTAAAAGGCTGAACTGTAGCCTACATTTTGGCAGCAATCTGGATAAAAAGTGGATATACATGCAATTTTATTTATCAACAAGCCAAGATTAATACTTAATCCGTGACTGACATCATTGAGTTCATTATGCAGAAGTGTGTAAACGTGAGAGCGTGTCCAATCAGGGTCTTGATCAAACAAACTGTTGATTACATTAGTCAAACAATAATTAACAACCAAATGACAGCGCAAGCTCTTGTACTCTTTGTTAGAAAGCAACAGTTAGATAGCAGCACTATCCGGGTAGGTTTTTCAAAATAAAACGTTGAAATTAGGAATTCCTAAAAACAAACATACAACCACAGAATCAGCTTCACCATATTTAGACAATAAATCCTGTTTCACCATATCTGCACATGATAATGAATATTTCAATCAAATTGATTTAAATGGCAATAGATTTAGAGGTTTGATTTCTATTTTGCTAATGTAAAAACATTAACAATGCCTCAAGGTGGATATAAAATTTGTAATAATGGATACTGTGACCAACATCCTGTTAAAATTCTCATCAGTATACTGACAATATTTTTTATACATGTCCAGTCCTGTCCAATGATTTCTTGCGAAAATCAACACATTGAACACTTACGGCAGCCATAACTCTTTACCAAAATCTGAAACACTGAAATAGTGTGTTGTTTACTACACTGACCAAATGTTTGGCCTGAACGGTCACTGACTTGGGTAATCAATATGCATCATCAGATAAAATTATGGAATAAAGTTTTTACTTTATTTTTTCTCTCTAAAGTGCCTTCACTATCTACATCATCAACAGGTATTTTATTGTGAAGGCCTTTCCTGTGTCCTCCCGTGCTACGGCAGCTGTGGGGCCAGAAGGTAGCGGCCTGGATCTCCTCAGTCGTCAGCTGTTGCTCCGTTAAAAATAAATAAAACCACACACAAATCCCACGCTACGAGGGATTAAACAACACCAGGTCCTCTGTAAACACAGGCCAATGTCACCAGGCATCACTTAAAATCCCAAATTCATGCACGCGTTCTCCAAAATAGAGACATTGTTGCTGCTTGCGTGGCTCGCAACTTGTAGCATAATATGACACAAAGAACAATAATAGAGATTGGTCTGCTAAAAGGGCATCATTGCTATCACTTGAAGATAAATGGTGATATAATAAGTCACTGTTACAACTTGAGCTGGTTTGTTGATTTTGACTCTATGTGCTAATAACAAGGGATAGGAGCGGAGCTAACATTCAGAACCCGAGGCCCCCTCATCTGCAGCGGCCACGAGAAACCACAACACCCGGGGCATGCCAAACTAAGCAAAGAAGGTGAAATCACACAACCCAACTACCTGAATGTGCTGTAGATGTATTCAACATTAATAAAAGACATGTTTGCAACCATTTCCTACAGCTGTCCTCCTCGTGCTCTTAGCCCCATTGTCTTTGTTATGACGGCGCATGGGGGGGGCAGCGAGGACCTTTAAACCTGTGTGTGTCTAAATCGTGCATACATTACATTATCATTAAAAAGGTGAAATGGTTTGGTGGCTTGTTTGGCTGCATGTTATGACAAGCTGACGACGTTTTTATTTAACCTAATCCCAAAGAGGAAGAAGCTTCTGCTGCATCCGACACAATAATGCACGCAGTTGTGTGATTTTACAGCCATAGTGCACACAGACCCATGTCCTAATGTTCATGAACAGCTGTTTTGCGTGTGTTTTGGTGGCTGTCAGTGCACGTACTCACCTCAAATCGACTCCGCGACACACCGTTTACCTCTTTCCCCATGTTGGACACTGGCGCTGGTTACCGACTCGATGAATGCGGTGGTCTTGTTGCAGCAAATTTCAGACAGGGGCCTTGTTTTTGCCGCTCCACGAGAATCATGCTAATAGTTCTCTTGGTAGATTTCGTTACATTTTAGCGCTGGAAAAAAGAGAGAGAAAGACAAAGGCTCGTCTTGGCTCTGATAAAACTACACAGGATACAGCAGCAGTAGCAATAGCCAGCCAATAAGCCTGCTCTCTTATCTGCTGCTCACCTCCTCCCTTCACTGACTGCCAGCCTACAGCTTTCTTTCTGTCCATCCACACAACAACATACAATGGCCAGACAGGAATATGATCTCTGACAGCTTAAAATTGTGTTGGTGCGACGCCTACATACATAATAAAACTTCAAAGTAACTGAAAATATCCCATTATGCCCTATTATTAGCCTTCCAAGGTTAGCTTCAGTATATTCCGGGGATATTATTATGGATGGTGATACGAATCAAAAGGACAGTTATGAGGCTGTAGCTATAATGTGAGAGGTGTAAAATTCCCATTTGACCAGGGAAAGACCATTGATGGTAAAATCTATACTACATGCTCAATCGTACAACCCAAACGAAACGTTTATTTCTGGCCTATAATTATCATACTTACTCGACATTTAACAACCATACAAACAAAACGAAACGTTTTACTTTGCTATTTTGCAAGAACTGATAAACGAAAAAGCACTTCCGTGTTTTGAGTTGGTCGCGCCTACACTCAGCCAGTCACCCAATCAGATTCCGGAACTACTGCCTGTCGTATTGCGTAGTTCTACTCGGAAACAAGCACGGAGGGAAAACTAAAAGTACAAGTATCTATCCTTATTCATAAAATCTTTGTGATGGTCGCGCCTTTTTCCAAATTTAGACCGTTGTCGGTCTATAATAATACACTGAAATCTATACAAATATAAAAACATGATTTTAGTGCATATAATTTTCAAATCTAACATACAATGTTTATTTTATATCTGAACATCTGCACTCGTGATACAGTTGTTTTTGTGAAAGGACAACGCGATTTTTTATCACAAGCACCCGCCTTTAGAAGGTACAGGGGCGGGACTACTACCGGAATCAGTGTCCTGATTGGGTGTATCCATAAAACGGACGTGATTGACACTGCTTCTGCATCCGGTTTGTTCCACAGTCCACAGCGTTCGTCAGTCTCGGGAGCCACAATGGCGTTGGTAGTTTCCTTCAGATAGGGCAGTGGATGTTATCAAATCCACCAGCATCGCCCTAAATATAGGCCTGGTTGATTCCCAGAGCCATTGAAAATAAACTGGAACATCTACTGCACACGAAAATACTATGATTTCTGATAATTATTGAATCTATAGAGGATAAATCTTACATTAAAGGAAACATGTAAACAGTACCAACCGGGTCGAGTTTGATTTGTTGGAGAAACAAGCCTCATAAATGAAGATTTTGCTTGTTACTTTCTCAGATCGTAATACCCTGGAATAATAGACCTTTACTTAACTTGGCACCGGCACGGACAGCTTTCCACAAAGGGACTTTTTCTTTTTACAAGCCAGCGTTTAGCGGCCCGGGAGTTAGCTAGCCGTGCTAGCTAATCTGGGAAGGAGAGGACATCACTGCTCAGATGTTTGTTTTGGACATATTCAAGCACTAACTAAATAGGAGATTACAACTACAAGAGCCGGGAGCTGAATTAAAGCTGTCAGCTTTGGATATTTGGAGGACTTCGGTGGAATGAATCAGCATCAAAGAAGACAGGACGTAAGCGGCCTTGTGTGTTACTATCTGTATTTTGACTTGCATCCTGCTTCATAACACTGCGTTTTGCTATTTTGTGTAGCTGCTGTTCCTCTCACGTTAATGTATTTCCTGGACCAACTGGGCCCAGGCACAGGAGAGGTACCGACGCCGGCGTAAGGGATGCCTGGGTCGGACCGACACCATGGGACCAAGAGGAAGTCTGCTAGTGCGCCCCAGGCCGCTCATACCTCTGCCGGGGATCTGAAGAGCAGAGAAGGCAAAGCCCAGATCAAATCTTCTATGTCGTCTTCATCTTCTAAACGTAAACGACACAAAACTAATAAAAATCGTGAAGTTTCAGCACTAGAACACGAGGATTTTGCCCTTGGCGATACAACGCCCCCTGGCGTTCACACGGTTAAACCACTGGTGGAGTACGACGACATCAGCTCTGACTCGGACACTTTCTCAGACCCACCATCCCGGCCTGCAGACAGAGAAGCAGGGGCCCTTTCCGATGATGATGACGACGACGATGATGATGATGATGATGATGGGATTATCAGAGAAAATAAGGGCCACAGCCATCCACGTAAAAAGACCATGGACCCCAACAAAGTAAGAGACTCTGGAAATGGGGAGCATGGTGTAAAGAAAAAGAGCAGCAAAGAGAGGGACAGAGTGAGTCATGGGAAGAGTAAAGAGGGTCCAGTGTCCTCAGGGTCTTCTTCCAAGCACCAGGCTCAGTCTGAGGATGGTAAACGTGGGGAGATCTCCTCACAAGCACAGGCAGCATCCAGTGTAGGCAGTAACTCTTCATCTCGCAGTAAAGAGAGTAGCCGTTCAGGGAAGTCTCGAAAAGACAGACAGCAGCGCAAAGACACCAGAGATGGAAGTCACAGCTCTTCTCAGAGGAGCAGGACTGACAGAAGCCATCGAAAAGTTTCAAAGAGTCGCAAGTCAAGTCCTAAAGGAAAGTCCACTGGGAGAAGTAGTCCACGGAGAAAGGGCACTAGTGCTGCTCTCTCCCCAAGTCCTAGACGAGGAGGTGGCAGTGTGAGCCCTGTGGGCTATGGACACCAGGGGGATGATGGCTACTCCCGACGGAGGGTCCAGCACAGCCCCAGCCCGTATGGAGATGTGCGGCGCAGCAGGCAGAGGTCTGTCAGCCCCTATGGAGGCAGACATCGGTCCTCCAGCTTTGAGCGCGAGAGCAGCCCCTACACTACTCGGAGGCGTTCCATCAGTCCTTACCCCTCCCGAAGGTCCTCCAGCACCAGCCCAGTGTCCAGGTAAGTGCAGGGGGGAATTAAACAACTTTTCACACTCTTAAATACTAAATGACAATAAGAGAAGGCACTGTGAGCATTCGATAATCATTGTACCATTTGTGTGTTACCCAATAAAAAACATCAGAGATAACCTTTCATAATGACTTCATTGCATTGCAACAGCTGAGCTTTGCACATTTGTTGTAGTAAAATATTGGCTACGCTTTTATTGTTGCTTATTTCTCCAATGAAAAAATAAGCCTTTGTCTCTCTTTGCGTGTTATTTTTCGCTTTTATTACAGCAAACAGAAAGCAACCACTAGATGGATTCATTTGAAATGTTTTTTTAATAGTTTTAACTCCCTCCCCCCCACCCATGTTCCTCTTGTTTGTTATGTGTTCAGGCGGTCTGTCCGTTCAAGGAGCCGCTCCCCTCTGTCCTATTCCTCCCGCAGGTCATCATCTCACTCACGCAGTAAGAGGCATCAAACCTCCAGTGGGACCAGTGCCCCCCACAGCAGTCGGCCTGGTAGTCGCTCCCCCTCCTCTGCCCGCCTCCCCCTGAACTCCAGCCTTGGGGCCGAGCTGAGCCGCAGGAAAAAGGAACGGCAACAAGCAGCAGAGGCAGCTGCACGAGCCTCTGGGGCAGCTTCTCCTTCTGTGGTAAGTCTGTGCCCATAGTGAGGCTCAACTATCACTACCCCGCTGGATCCCATGTGCCAGTGCATATTCTATGCATAATAATAGCATTTATTATTAATAATAATTTATTGATAGCATTTATTTGTTACAAGATAAGAGATAATTGTATTGGCTACGGTACTGTCTTTTAAGAATGATGACAATCCAAAAGGAGCAATCCATCCATTTTCTTCCGCTTAATCAATTTCTATGTTGGGGAGGTGGCGGTCAGAGCTTCACCCAGTTCACATAGCACATGGGGTTAAGTGTCATGCCCAAGGACACAACGACAGCCGACATCAGTGGGAGTCAAAAAGGAATAAATAATTTTATAATGCACTTTTAAGTTGGAAGGACAGTGGTGATGATCCAGGACACTCAACTCAACATTAAACAACATTTCTGGACATTTATCATAATTTATGGACGTTTGTTATCTGTCCCTTATGAACTAGTGGCTCTGTGTTTTTATCGTTGCATTTCTTGTTTTGAACTGTTCATTCTCTGATCTGTGTTGGCGAATTCAAAGGTTTTTTTAAGTTCTCTGAGACAACTACTGTTGTGATTTAGGGCATTATAAGAATAAATTGTATTTAATTGGTACCATGAACTAGGGATGTAAATCGGCGACCGGTTAACCGGTGGTTGACCGTCACAGCGTTAACCGGTCAAAGCTGTCGGTTAAAAAAGAGAAAACGGGGAGAGGGGAGGTCTCTAAATAACGCTATTTTAAGCCCTATTTGCACGGTGTGACGAGCGGGTCTGTATCTAGCTGTATGCGCCCATGTATTATAAACTCCGGGACGCCTCTCACGCCGCACGAGCCACATATGCACGCGCGCGCGCACACACACACGCACACGCACACACTTTCCCCCTCTCCATACGTAACATCCACACGCATCATCTCTCCCCTCTGTTACCGTCAAAGTTGCACACTGGCGCGGGTCAGAACTACATTGGAGCTTACATTTACACACACACACATAAACATACACACACACACATATACATACACACACACACACACACACATACCAGTCTGTCGCGCTCCTCTGTGTCACGGAGCCCAAAGGATTCGCGCAAATACGCAGCTCCAGTCAAACCACATGGAACATGTTTGTGTTTATGGTCCTCGGGATCAGCTCCACAAACATCACTTGTATTTAAACTTTTGTGAAGACCTGTGAGACGCGGCTCGTCACTCGCTGCTCTGACCATGTGAACGAGCCGTCGTTTGCTGCTAGAAAGTTTTGGTATTAACCCGCAGCACAGCAGAATGGGAAGATTAAAACAGCAGTTCTCTGTGCGCAAAGGTGCCGGAGCTGTTGCGGGTTTGGGCGCCGCTGTCTCAACTCTGATCCAGTAGAACGCAGAGCTGCACTTATGAAAAGTACGCGGCTCGAAATGGCTGTTATTTCAAAGAACGTGGACTATTTTAAACTACGCGGTTAACCGGTTTCAACCGGTTAATGAGGCTCGGTGGTCGGTCATGAAAATTCATAGTTTTTTACATCCCTACCATGAACACCTTAGGCATAATATGCTTCACATAAGAACTCAGAATGTTATTCATCTACTGACTCCCACCAAGTGTCCACTGCAAAAAATACAGCCATATCATAAAATCTTAACTGCCTTTTACGACTAAGCGGCCATGTGTTTTACCATCTGTATTTTGACTTTGAGTGTTCTTCACTCCATCCTAACCCATAGGTCAATCATGTGTGGCCCACTTTGTCAAGACCAAATCTAATATTTGACAATATGTTGTTTATACCTACAGGCTGGACGCAAGTCCACCAATGCTACCTCCACCGCAGCGAAACCTACTAAACCAGAACCAACACAGACAGAGAAGATCCCTGCACCAGAACCTCCGTCGGTACAGCCTCCTCCACTCATCAGTGAGGAGCGGATCGCTGCCCCGGCATCTTGTGGTTCATCCCCTGTTCCACCTGCTCCTTCTCCCCCTCATCCTGCACCGCCCACCTCAGCCTCTCAGCTCCCACCGCCTCCACCGCAACCAGAGTCCTCAGCCGGTGCGCCGGCTCAGCCCACCGCCGTGGCTTCAGCCAAGTCACCTGCGCCGCCTCCGAGTCACAGCCCCATGCGCCCCACCACTCTGCACAAGACGTCCACACTGCCCCTGCTGCCTCTGCCCCCTTTGCTGATGGGGAACGCTCAAGATAGGTGAGTCCCACTTTGGTTGGACAGGAGGTACTATATCAGAGATATGAGAGACATGTCTGATAAGTGTTACGATCAGACATGTCCTAATTCTGTCCCTCTATCACCTGTCATGTCTGTGGCCCTCTGCCTTCATAGCGGAATTATAAACCGCTTTGAGACTCAGATCTGCAGTGAAAAGGCAGTATATAAATAAAAGATAAATAAATAAAATAAATAGCCCTAGGCAGACATTGGGATCATACACACAGGGTCAATGAGTCAACTTCAGGATTCTATAGCAATCCAGTCAACTTTGTCACTTGTGTTTGACACAAATGATATGATGTATAAACTTTTGAAATAAGTAACTTCTGAGGCTAGTATCCGTTCAAGTCTGCTGTTTTATCTGCTACAATGTACGCTGAACACTTTGAACATTTTCCCTTGGACTGTGCTACTTTTTTACTTTTATTAAATATTTTGTCTCTGTTTTTGTAATAATAATGGAAATTGGACAGTGCTTCTCAACCTTTGATCTTGCCATATTCAATTGTTTTTTTGTTGTGATGCCATAAATAACAGAATAAGGATAAAATCAGCTTTATGCACAGCACAATGTTTCATTTTATGTTCAGGCCAACAAATAAAATCTACCATTTACCACTGTATTTGAAAGTTATAGAGACTACATGAAAAAAATCCAATGTGGTCCCAATCCCCAGGTTGGGAACCAGTGGGATAAACTATCTTGTCTATTTACTTTGAGTTATCATTGAAAACCTTGGGCTAAAGTCCAGATGACCTCCATGATCATTGTTGTAGGAATGTGATGTTCCAGAGACTGTAATTGATTGACTGTTACTAAAACTTTAACACAAAGTATGGGTTTCTTGGATGCAATTCGTTATATTTAAATGTTTCAAAATATTTGACAAAGGTTGTTTTTGCAACGAGTCCCAAAACAAAAGCTCAAACATTTTCTACATCTTTTTCACAACTATATTAATTCATTTATCTTCATTGCAGTCCAAAGAAGTCCACTCCTCCTCAGAGGTCTTCGAGGAAAGAGAAGGAAGCTCGCAGCCGGACGTCTCTCATTGACCTCCCCTTGCCGCCCACTCTGCTCGGCGGTGACTCGCCACCACAGTTCACTGTCCACCATGCTCCGTCTCTGCCACAAACCGCTCTCAAGAAAAGACCAAAGTCAGTTTAACGCACACATTTTGTCACTGTATTCAGAACTGCATATTTCATTAACAACATGCGACTTGGGGAAAATGCAATACAGGGAAAAACAAGTTGGGGCTATTATTTCTAAAATTTATTAATTACGAGAAATAACTCATTGAAATCATTGCGTCAATTTGTGGTATTGCTTGCATAATGACAATTTTTACCAAAAATAATATTTGTCCACTACATGCTCATAGGAGAGTTGCGTTTTACATGGACCCAGTTTGGATAAATGATCTCTCAATGCCACCAGAAACTAATCCTAATGATATTACTGAGGATTTTTAATTAACCTAAATACCAGTTAAGCAAAACGTCTGTTGGCAAAATCCATGTTTACATTGGATTGCAATTTGCAACAACCACATTTTCAGCTTTTATGAGATAGGCTAGTAATTCTGATAAAACATGCTTATGATTAAGAGCATGGTCTTCTTTTTCTTTCAGGATTTGCTGCCCACGTTATGGTGAGCGCAAACACGACCTGAGCGACTGGGGCAAGCGGTGCGTGGATAAATTTGATATAATCCGCATCATCGGCGAAGGGACGTACGGTCAAGTGTACAAGGCCAAGGACAAAGTCACGGGTAAGACTTGAGGCTGCTCAAATCTGTTTTCACTGTTGTACGGGATCTAAATGAATGCTCTCGTTGTGGCAGGTGAACTGGTGGCTCTAAAGAAAGTGCGTTTGGACAATGAGAAGGAGGGTTTCCCCATCACAGCCATCCGAGAAATCAAAATATTACGACAACTCAAACACCGCAGCGTCGTTAACATGAAAGAGATTGTCACAGATAAACAAGACGCTCTGGACTTCAAAAAGGATAAAGGTACACACATTTTAGGTTCATAATTCTGCTCACAAGAATAGAATAGATCTTTCTTGTCTGTTCAAATTTAGCAGAGATTTGTCTTTCAACACTGCGCATTTAAAAATCATTGATCAAAACACACTTCAATACATTTAGCAAAGACGCAACAGTTCATAATTTATGCAGTGCTACCAGTTGTTTAAAACAGTGACTGCAGACGGGACAAACAATCTCTTGATGTAGATGTTTTTTCGGCCCATTGGGGTTCTGTAGCTCCTGCCTAATGGCAGCAGAGAGAAGGAGCCAGGCACTTAATCAAAATTGAAAACTACTTTTTTGCAGTCGGACTAGCTTAGTATTAATGAAAGTAAGTAAATGAAAATTAGACTGTTAAAGGTTTTTCCCTTTAAAAATTTGGCCTCAAAAATCCTTATCCTCCAAATATTATATTATGCTATTTTCAGAGCTGTTATCTACCTTTTTAAAGCACAAGTATAGCCTCTAAATTAGTTTTAACAATTTATATAGTGCTATTTTGTTCTTCACAATTGCATGGTTTAATTAGCAGCTCAAAATGTTTGATGTTGAGCCAAATTGGAAAAATGTAATTTGAAATGTCTAATTTCCCTTTTCACACCAGACAGAGGTAACATGTTTATGGCCAAAATAATATTTCTTAAAATGTTAAAATAAAACGGTGAAAGACCTTGTAAAGGATGATATAAGATGATTCATTTGAATAATTTTCAATAAACTTTCGAAGCACTGTCACTGGGTTAAACAATTATGCAAGATTAAAACTTCCACCCTTGTTCGGCCACAGGTGCGTTTTACTTGGTGTTTGAGTACATGGACCACGACCTCATGGGCCTGCTGGAGTCTGGTCTGGTGCAGTTCTCTCATGAACACATCCGCAGCTTCATGCGTCAGCTGATGGAAGGCCTGGATTACTGCCACAAAAACAACTTCCTGCACAGGGACATCAAGTGCTCCAATATTCTCCTTAACAACAGGTAAGTCCTAGAGAACGGTGGGAAATGAGCAAATTAAGCCCAGCAGCCAGAATACCGTAGTCTCATCCTGTAATCGTCTAGTAAGCATAATGTAGCATTTAATGTTACAAAATAACATGGCTTCTTATGCACATCTATTAACAGTGTTGGGTAAGTTGCTTTGAAAAATGAAATTGTTGCATAATGCTGATTACCTTTTGAAAATGTAATCAGTAACCTAAGTAGTCTCAAAAATAATGACCTAATATATTTATGTATACATAAATCAAGAGCAGTAATGACTAATGAGGGTTTAGACATATGAGCCATGACTGATATGAGAAAACGTATGTTTAGGATTCTGCCGTTCCACATTCTGAAGGCTCCATTTTGAAGCTGCATTTGCTTGTTTAACCTGTGTGAGATGGTTCCGCTCAGTGCAGACACACGCCTTTCCTTCGTTTGCTTCTTCAATAATAAGCACCTGCTTTTTCTGGCGCCTGCATCAATCCACTCCATGGATTGGGGCAAAATGTTGATACTTTCTACATACAGACCCCGCTGTTTTCACACTCATTATTTTCTGTAAATGTTGTTTTATTCAAATTTAAACCACTTTTATTATTTCTTCATCTGCTAATTGGTGAAACAAATAAATGGCAGAAGTCATTCACCAGTCAGTCATTTATTTGGTGCAGTAATTGGTTATGCTCGAACTCCGTGAAATGCTTTGACTAATTGGTTTAAATGTTTCATCTGACCCACCCAGGACTGTAAATGAAGTTAGACAATCGACGAATCTAGCAAATACTATTTTGATAATCAGTTGTTTTAGAAATCAGTTTGACCCGTATATAGCTAAACTATTGCGTAGTAGCTGCTGTTCATCAAACAACTTCAGAACAACTTCTTATGTTGATAACAATTATCAATAATACTGTACATACGTAAATTAATACATGATCGATATCACCCCAACGCACATTTTCTAATAACTGCACAATATCCAAACCTGTGTGTTGCTACATCTGATGGCAGAAAATGCAGAGGCCTGATAAGTTGATGGCTGAAGTTAAGTGCATTGGTGGAAATTAAACACTGATAATGTGTCTAAACAAATTGGCTGACCGTTTTGAGCTCAATGCTCCCTCTGCTTGATGTTGGGTGTGAAGTTAGGCTGAATCTGTGTTAAAATTACGATCCTCAGAAATGGTCTCTGGAAGTCTGGCCAAACCTTTATGGCTTGTACATCTAGCTGTAGTCGTATGACTAAATCTTGTACAGTCCTTTTCTGTATGTATACATGTTTTTTAAAACCTTGGTTATTATGTCTGTTCTCACACGTCACATTAGACAAACTATTTTTAGTGTTTGCCCTGAAGAAGAATGAACTCTTGACTCTTAACTGCTCCAAACCCGTTTTCTGAAATGGGAATGTAAAAACTGAGCTAAGGCAATGGAGACGTCAATCATCCGGGAATCAGAGGATCAGTGCTATAGCATTTAGGAACATACTTCATTTTGTATCAAACGCGTTTGTGTCGGCGAACGAAAGGACTGGCGCTCCTGCCCAAATTCGTTACCCATATAAACAAAGCACACAACAGATGCCCTTAATGTAAAATATTTATATACATTTTACCTTTAATTTTAAAATGTATTATCACATTTTCATCATTGTTATTGGTAACAAACTGATGTTGTGTTGTGTTCTGTCTCCTTACAGAGGTCAGATCAAACTGGCAGACTTTGGTTTGGCCCGTTTCTACAATTCAGAAGAGAGGTGGGTACTATGCTAAAATCCTGTGAAATTTAAACGATGTTATAGTCTATTTAGTTTTGTTGGAACAATTTGGCCCTAGAAAGTTTATTTATTATATTTATTTATTTAGAGGATAAGCCCCTAGAGATGAATCATCTTTTTTTAAGGGGTCCTCAAGATTTCAGAAGGTGATACAGCAAAACGGATGTTTAAAAAGAAAAAGAAAATTATATAAAAAAGCAAACAAAAAAATACACACGCATAAACCGTCAATCTTTCACCCTAGAAAGTTCTCATCTTGTCTGTTACAAATGCATGTAAGAAACATATTAAGTCTCGATAAAACGAAATGCAATGACTGAGAATATCAGCCAAGTAGCAATGAATAAAAGAAGCCTCAATACATGGCAGACCCTATGACCTTTTGTAAAAGGTCTTGTTTACTTAAATCATTTGGTTTTAAGCCCTTAGTTTTGTTGCACACGTATATTTAAATGCCACTAGATGGAGCTGTTGTCTTTTATTAAGCCTGAAATGGAAACAAGGCTTTTTATAGCCTTTTTTTTTCTTTCTCTAAACCCCTCGCCTACTCCTTTACCTGTCGTTTAGGTCACATTTGAACACAAGTCATTGTTTACGTTTAACATGATATCTTTCTGTCAAAAGGATAAAAATTACATACTTTATCTGTTCTGCTATCTGTGCTAAGTATTCATATTAGTTTATTTGTCTGTCTTTTGCAGTCGGCCGTACACTAACAAAGTTATCACACTGTGGTACCGGCCGCCAGAGCTGCTGCTGGGAGAGGAGCGCTATTCACCCGCCATCGACGTATGGAGCTGTGGGTGAGTGCAATCACTACTGTGAAAACACCCAGGAAAGATACATGTAACTGTAAAGGACAGGTGGAAACACATCTGTAAAATTAGACCAAGTAGTCTAATCCGTCATTTGTCCAGGAGGAATCCATTGCAGAGCTAGGTTCAAAATGCTTACCTAGATCAAACATTGAGCGGTTTCTACTCTATCCAGGTGTTCATGTCAAATCTGATGAGGTGGTCTCAGAACTGGAAATTTAACCTGGGGCGAACCCAGAGGGAAGGGTAAACTTTGAAATAAATGTTCGTTCTAGTCCTTTAAATGGTCATAACTGGTTTGACAAAGTGACACTCATCACTTCATGTTGAAAACCAAATGGACAGGTAGATTGGTATCTTGAGTCCATCAATTAATCCACTTTCTTCTGTGAAGTGGTTGTATCACCATATCCAGTCCATGCCGTGAGGACGATGGTGTTCTGCTCTGTGGCTTACAGACGGTTTGGTTTGAAACGGGGCTTGTCCAGGTTGCACTTGTCAAGATGCACAATGGGACAATTGAGAGTCCCTCTCACTGTTTTTTTTTTTTTTTTACAATGGGGGGGGGGTCATTCATTTTCATAAAAAATAAACAGGAAATCACATTGTTTTTGATTAAATACTTACTCAGATACGGCACCATTATACAACTAAATCGTAAACTAAATCGTACAATGACAACTCGTCTCTAATTGCAAGTTTTTTCGGGGAGCATGTGAATGTTTTCATTTTTTCCTTAGCCCATTTAATTCTTGAGATATGGATAAATAAAGTTGGCCACTCTAGTCTGAGAAACATAATCTGAACCCTGAAACGTTTTTTTGGGAGGTTTCAGATACCATCAGAATGAATCTTCTCGAACACCTTGGTGTTTGACACTTTGCTGCTTTAGTTGTTAAGATATTGTCATGTTATATCTCATGTTTAAACTCAGACATCAGAAATATAAGACTAAGTCTTTGTTATTCATGCTCAAGACCTCTTTAACATTAGGTCATCTGGGGAAGCACCTGATTGACCCACGCAGGTCTGAACCAGCCTGAGCCAGGACTAATGGTGCTTTCAGACCGGGACAGTCGTTGCGTCTGCGTTCAATGCAAAGTCAATGGGGTGGCGCGTTTCAGCGTCGCATTGCACGGACCTCTCGGCACACGCGCACGGACCGCCCAGTAGAAACGCACGGACTTGGCGGGAAAGTCAAAGGGGAGGAGAAGGAGCGGAAAATGAACGCCCACAGGAGATGGATTCCGCTCAACTTTTCCTCGAGACGTTCCAATCAGAGAGCACGCACACCACTGACGTAATCACGCCACTACACGGCGTATGTTTTCCCCATTGAGAGCCAGGAACCGGTCATTTAAACATGGAGGATCAAGCTGTGGATAGTCTCATTGTCGCTGTTACAAACTTTCCAGAGTTGTGGAAAGTCTGCATTCCGGAATATAGCGACAGAGCAAAGAAAGATTCGGCATGGAAGGCCATTGCGCAGCAGCTCAACCTCCCTGGTAAGTTTTTTCAGTATCAGTGTAGTGAGGTGGGCGTGCTTGTGTTCGTGCGTCGTTTGGCAGTGTGCAAGCCTCTGCGTCTGTAAACTAGATAATGCGCGTCTGGTAAGCTGGGCTGCTGCGTTTCAGCGTTTTCGGTCTGAAAGCACCATAAACCAATCCTTAAACTGCGTTGAGGATTGGTTTAGTCTAACGTGAGAGTCTCCACTCTCACATGCGTACGCAAGTAAAACTGACACAACATTACATCAAATTACTCTACACGTGCCCAGTTCTTCATTAATAGCCAAGTGAAATCTTAATGGCTTATGTTTTTTTCTAATAGAATGCAGATTTGTTCAGAGGGGATTTTTCTTGTTTTCTTAAGATTACGGTGATTAAAATAAATACATCTAATTTATTCATTTTGATGATTATATTTAGTCCAAGTGGTCCACACTGTGTCATTTTTTTGGGGGGATAGATTTCACCAACATTGGCCATAATTGAAATTCACTGAATTGCAAAGATACAAAAAAATCAGAGGACATGGAAGCTTCTCCCATGATCCAGGTCTGTCTCTTGCAGCATTGACAGCACGTTTGTTCTGTATTTATACTGCTACAGGCTGTCCGTGCAGTTCTGTTGAGCACTGGTCATGTTCCTAGGCCTGTCACGATAACAAGTTTTGCTGGACAATTAATTGTCTCAGAAATTATTGCAATAAGCGATAATATTGTCGTTCTGAGATGCTTTTCATCTCATACATTGATAATGATGCAGCAGTTACACCTTTTTTTTAGAGATAAATAAACTTTAATTTTTAAAGACCACCACCGGAAGTGGCGGAAGTAGAGGTTGGGCTTTGATGCTAACAGAGTTAAGCTAGCTTCTTTTTGTGTAAAGTTCCTCTCCAAGAATGCAGCTCTGCAGAGTCTGTGTCTAGAGACCTTCCAGAGACTTTATATAACAGTAGTATGTGTTCACGGAGGTGTGCCTTAAGTTTATTGTATTATTAAACGTTACTTCCGCATCAGCAAACACGCTAGCTACGCTAGGGCTAGCTGCGCTAGTTTCGTCACTTCTAGAGCCTGAATTAGAACTCAGGCTGGCACACCGTATGTTCACAAGTACTTAGTCCTCCATTGTAAATCCTGGTTTAGGTCGTGTTTTGGCTGTATATTGTATTTTGAGTATTTCCAGTCTGCACGTTAGACCGCTAATGTCCCCGTGACCACTTTGCGGCTCTCTGACCCGAGAGAGAGAGAGGAGCAGAGAGAGAGACCTGGAAAACAAACAAGCATGCAAATGGAACTTATCGCTGCCAGAAAAATTATCGAGCTAATTTTAATTATCATGCCATTAATTGATTTATTGAATATCGCGACAGGCCTACATGTTCCACGCCACTTTTCCCCACTTGAGCAGTATATTGTCTCGCTTGTTTGAATAGGGCTGTTTAGTTTTCGAATATACTGTGGTCATCCCTGCGGCCAGCAGAGTCTGCGACTGTTCATTGCGTCTCTAGAATGCGCCTATGGCCAGTTTGCAGCTGTTGGCAACCCTTCACCGACGTTGCTTGCTTGGACACACGTAATTGTGAGAGGATGAGCAGCGCTGCGGCGCAGCAGGTTTGATGTGGAAAATTGGTTTCCTAGAGATGGGCAAGTCTCAAATCCACGAGTCAAAGTCTCGAGTCTTAAGGGGACCAGTCCAAGTCTCATTCGTGTGTCCCCATCTCTGGTCACAGTAGCCTGGATTAACTGCATTGATTTGACCAGAGCCCTAACATGGAGGCTTGCAGCTTAGGTGGAACACCTCGGTTTATTGTTATTTACCAATACATGTTACTGTTGCTGTTAATGGTGCTTTGTGTGGTAATAAATTAATAAACTGTTAAATAGTGAGATGTGTCCAAATGTCTTCAGTACATTGCTTTGACCAGCCGTCTGAGCTGTTTTATAGTTATAACATAAATCTGTACTTTTTATTCAAGTGTGGCTTATGTATAACCTTTTCTTTATTTTAGAATTTTCCTGAGTCACGGTTTCTATAGTGGCACAATCCTTAGCCCAAGAATTATGGAATGTAATAAATCAGTTTTATCTCTCAACTGTTCAGCTCTATCACCAGTTTTCACATGCAGGTTTTTTTTGACACTGTCAAATCTATTGATCAGTTTTTCAGACAGAAAAGTGAATTGACGACCACCATCACTCGCTAATCAGCTCTCGTATGTAAAAGATAAATGCATCCTGTTGTCGTCTGATTTGTTCATAAAATTTTATTTTTACAAGACTGTTACTTTTCTGTTAGGAAAAAAAATAAAAATAATGTAAAGCAAAAAAAGCTTTGTATCCAGCTTTAATGTACCAACGACACAGATAATTGTGAAACTTCTCGCATGGATACGCAAGAACTGCTGTGCGCGAGCATCATCTCATCAGCTTCAGTGCGCACTTGTGCTTCATCAAGAGCTCTGTTTTAGTTCTGGTGAGCACAACTATGAAACCCAACACGCCACAGAAGGCAGATTCAAGTTAACCAAAGTAAAAACAAAGTGACTGTAATGTACAGGGCAGTGTTTGCCTGGAATCATCTTCCAAGTGACATACAGTATGTTTACTTTGAAAACAACTCATTCTGATTTAGGGCTGCACAATTTTGGAAATTAGAGCAATATTCGATATGAGTGTTTAGTATTGCGATAACAATATTATTGCGATATTTTTTTCTTTCACCTAAAATTGCAATCTGCATTGAAACACAAGAGACAAATAACAAAATTAAGATAAGATCTACTTTATTAATAATAAATAATAAATAATTTATGGTATTGTGGTGTTAATAAATTTACACCACAACATTAATGACATTCAAATGCATATATTTATATACTTTTTTTTTTTTTGTTCTTGTTGAATGTTGATGTGTCTGTCTGTTTTGTTGTCAATAAATAATAAAGGAATATAATATATATTGTATATACAAATATTTTTTATATATTTTTTTTATCGCACATTTTTTTGATATGGATATTGCACGCACCAATATCGTGATAACAATATTTTTTTGATATATCGTGCAGCCCGTATACTCTGATTTCTACTTTCCACAAAGCTAATATAGACAGCTGTGGTCCAGACAACTGAATCCAGATAAACCAGAGCTGAAGTAGGACCACGCCTTGAATCAAATAAACCAGTGGTCTGCATCTGCGGCCGTTGAATGTAGATTATAATAATCCTGTCTTTATAATCGAGGATCTGCGGTCAGAGAGAAGGATCTCTGGACTGTTTTGGTTGAGTTGCTGCGAGAACTTTTCATGTCACATGAACTGTGCTGAACTTGTATCAATGCGAAAGAAGTTGTGATGAGGCTTGACCTCTGATTCAACAAAGATAATGTGTTGGATGTTCATTTCCATGCTGGAGCCGTCTTGAAGTCTGACTGGGCCAATTTATTATTATTATTATTATTAGTTTATTTGATATGGACATATCAACTGCATTGGACAAACCAGATACATTGTTTCCAGTGTTATAGCAAAACTGCTAATTTGCAACACCTGTCCATAGGAGGCTACACATTTCAAAAAACACAATACAATACAGTACAATATTTAAAAAGGTAAACATATTATATTATTCTTTATATATTCTCACTTTCTAATACTTAAAAGTATTGTTTTGATTATTTGATTTGTTTGGAACACTGGATTATTTCTACCATAAATAATGACTTTTACGCAATACCTTATTTTTTTAAATTAAATTCTAACATTCTTCACAACACTTACCTGTGTTGGAGTTTTACAGGTGAAACTTGAAGAATTAGATTATCACGACTTTGTATTTCTGTAATACAACTTAAAATGTGAAACTAATGTATGATATGGACTAATGGTAGGAAAAGTGACATGTGTCGAGCCTTTGTTTGCTTGAAAAAACCCAAATACAAAATCTCACAAGAGAAGAATATTACATGAATCCATAAAACTGAAAAATACAATCATGCATATGGATTTGGTACTTGGTTTGGGCTTCTTTTTTCTTGAATTACAGCCTTAATAGTAAATTACGGTATGTTTTTTGCTGCAATTTTGATGGTTTTTGACATTTGATAGAACACTGCCCAATTGATTGGAGCAACTTGAGGAAAAACAACAAAAATCATCCTGATACTGGTTAAAAGGGCAATTGAGCAAAAGAGTCCTTTTCTTCCACTCTCTTAAATGAGTTTTGACTTAAAGCCGTGTCTCTCCACGCACTTCAGCAGAGAAAATGTGCTCCGGGCAAGCAGGGCTGACAGTGGCTTAACCCGTAGCTCAGTGTGCACGGCTGCAAATGCCACATTTAGACTTGGCCTTTTCCTGTGCAAGAGTAAGCTGTGACATGAGCATCTTCAATGGATCCCGATGTCAGAACAAAGGGATTGACAAGAGTTTGTCAGGGCTAAGGAACACAAGGGGACTGAAGGAGGAGTCATTTAACCTGGCAAGAGCCAGATTGATGATTGTGTAGAACTCTAATGCGTTCTCCACAATATCAATCTGGGACTTCTGCAGGAGAATCCTTTCGGGGAAAGGAGGGATAAGCAGCAGAATACTTAGAGCTGATTGGGCGAAGTGACGCTGTGTGCCCGCCTACCAAGGTTTGACTTGAACCAATCCCGGTAACATTATGTCGTCATCGGCGTAGGTAAAAATGCACACACATCTTTGCCGTCCAGAAATGCACAAAGCGCCTCTCGCTGTTCATCTTTCAAAAAAGAAATTGGAGATTCTGCTAAAACTGACTTGATAGCCTCAGCTACGCGTCCGTCCTCCTGCGTAGCCATGTTTGTTTTGCTTCGGCCCGGCACTTCTTGCTTTCGTCAAACCCGGATATCCCGCCCTAAACCCCCAGACTGGCGCGTGATTGGCTTGAACACCTAGATGTTCTACTCGAAAAGGGTTGTCAAGATGTATTCTCGATTGTTTGTGAACTCACAAAACCAGCTTGCAGGCAAGGTTAGGAGTCATTTGATTCAGGCCAAATAAATGATTATCAAGCTTGTCAATTTTTGTCTATACTCGATCTGTGTCTTTAGTAGACCGATGCTTCTCAGGTTACATGTAATTTAGCTCTAACTAATCTTGATTTACATGAGACTTGGTTGAGACAAAAATTGTTGTCTTTAATATTTGAAACAAAAGTACCACTGTCTTTAAAGTAGTTTCAAAGGTGATCTTTTTGAGTACTGCTTAATTTTCAACTTCCGCCCACGACACTAGCCCAAAGTCACCCTGATAAACCAACCAAAGTGGTTTTAATTACAGTAAATATCCAAGGAAAGTAACACCAACAGGAAAATGAGACCTGAAAGAATTGTAGATGTTCTGATGTCACACTGTAATCGTGATGTATTGATAGATGCATTATTTTGCTTTTTTAGGTGTATTCTGGGGGAGCTGTTTACAAAGAAGCCCATATTCCAAGCAAATCAGGAGCTGCTACAGCTTGAGCTTATCAGGTAAGCTTTTGTTTTTTTAGTGAAATGACCCACTGAAACTGCTATTTAACTTTTATGCATTGTTAGTTTTGCTTATTCAAAATCAACATGTCTATTTTTGTAGCCGTCTGTGTGGTAGCCCCTGTCCTGCTGTCTGGCCTGATGTTATCAAACTTCCACTTTTCAACACCATGAAACCCAAGAAGCAATACAGGCGCCGGTTACGGGAGGAATTTGCCTTGTGAGTATCTTTGGTTTAAGTACACTTTACATGTCTTTTTAAACGTTGCAGTTAAAGTTGTCAACTTTTTCTACAGTTCTTTGCCAATACGGTAGCGGCTAGCGTCATCGAAAACAATATTTCAATCAATTCAATACTAAAACTAGTATCAATAACAGGTTCACTGTATCGATATTAAACCCTTTAATCTCCCTCTAAAGTCTCTGTGCATGCCTCACCAGGCAATGTAGCAGAAACATTATTCATTAGGGAACAATATGAGTATTTATCGCCAATAATTGTGGAGAAACTTGATGTTCCGAAGGTTGATTCATCCATGATAGTCATCTCGAGAAAAACAAGATACTCTGAACTATTGGCCACTTTCCTAATATAGTGGCCAATATTAGGTAAGTATAATTGGATTATTAAGCTAAAGAATCATTAACCTGGGGATTAAACTAAATAGTAAGTTTTTTGAAATGCAACACATCGGGTTATTCCATTCAGAAAAATGCTTTGTATCTGTGTCTAACCTGTTAGACCTGCCATACGGTTGTTTTTTGCCCCTTTGCTTCTCCTGGTTGAATGTTTCCTTCTGTGGTAAACAGTGACCTATGTACTGCACAGGTGGACAAATGCAAGACAAAATAGTATTAATAACCTGGCCTTGTGGAGGTCTCAAGGACCACAGAGACTTTCGTTGTTTAGGCTATTCGTGCCGAAGGTTTGGCCTTTTCTATGATGACGTAGATTTCCATATATAATGTATCTGTGTCTTTTGTTCTGCCTGAAAATTAACGACCATTTTGTGAATAAACCAGCCAGGAGGCTTTGTCGTACAAAGATCCCAATTTGCATGAGTCTGATTCCTATCACTTCTCTTGACAGTTTGCCACCGCCCGCCCTCGACCTGTTTGACCGAATGTTGACCCTGGACCCCTCGCGCCGCTGTACCGCTGAACAGGCTCTGAGCAGTGACTTCCTGTCTGACGTCGAGCCCAACAAAATGCCTCCCCCAGAGTTAGTAGCTCTTTGTTTTTGTTCTGACTGGTTTAGGTTAAGACATGGAATGATTACGGTACAGATTACAAATGGGTTATTTCAACATGCAAATGTAGGATTTGCCTTGGCACTCAAACCGTCTACTTCTACAAAAATCTCAATATTAGATTTAGAATTAGATATTACAATGTAACATGAGTTGTACGACTTTTGAGTTACCAGATTAATAACTGATATTGGTCCAAGATTTATTTCAAATACTACTACTATTCCAGGAGCGGAAAGATCTTTGTTGCCACCGTATATTACCTGTATATGTTCAGATTTTCTTCACAAATAAAAAGTGCACTTTAAGTCACTTTGATGGTAACTTTTGGTATATTACACTAGAGCTGCAACTAACGATTATTTTGTAATCGATTAATCTATCGATTATTTTTACGATTAATCGAGTAATCGCTTGGCTGTGAATTGTGTAGAAAAAAAAATTTTTTCATCACAAAAAGCTAAAGTGGCAACACTCGAGGACGTATTGATGGCGTAAACTTAAAGTAAATGTTTAACAGGCTCTTTGTGCTAATTCTGCTATCTGATTGGATGAGACAAACAGATATTCATGAAATTATAAAAACAAAGTCGGTTTTAATCAAAAATACTACATTTTCATGTCATTTTTGCTCTGTTTGAGTCCGTGTGAACCAGAAAACGATTAATCGATTACTAAAATAGTTGTTGACTATTTCAATAATCGATTAGTCGTCGATTAATTGATTAGTTGTTTCAGCCCTATATTACACATGTTCACTTTTGAAATGAGATGCTACAGATAGTGAAAAGAAAGTTTGAGGCACTCATTTGTGAGGATTAAAGCACATGACTCAATCGGCTCGTTATTAGATACGTGATTCATATGAAATGCTTAGATTGAGCCAAAACGATAATATAGGACATGGGAATAATATAGGACATGGGGTGTCAAACCGGTCCTGTGACCCTTTCTGTAACTGGTCTGACCCCCTGTTATTGGAAACGTGCTCCCGAAGCATGCAGCTGCTCCCCCGCAGACAATGTTCTTCTTTTCTTAGAGCAAAAATGCCGTGAATCCTCCACTTATCAGGGATTCAGAAAAACACAGAGGCAGTGCTGAGTGCTGGTAGTCGTTGCTTTTATTTGAGGATATACATAAATCAAACGTATGTGCGTTTAAAAGTGTTTTGTGTGTGTATGTGAGGGGTCAAACAAATGAGATTGTACTGGTGGTAACTGCACAACTTCTTAATATACTATTTACTTGTACTACCACTGAGAAAGCTGTGTGGGCATATTTCAAACAGGATGGATTATGTTTTCATGAATCAAAATCCTGGGGTCAACTTGTACACACATAATTCAAACAGAAGGGATCTTGAATGTTTTTACTGTGATACAACTATGCGCCTGGAGAGTCATGTGGGTGGCGCTCCAAATACCCTTTGAGCATCCTCTATTACAATGGCTTCGTTGCACTTTATTTTACATGCATAGATTTGAAACGTGCGTCTGTGTGTCCAGTCTTCCCCACCACCAGGACTGTCACGAGCTGTGGAGTAAGAAGCGGCGGCGTGCGCGTCAGAGTGGGGTGTCTGAGGATGTGCCTGTGCCGAAAGTGCCCCGTAAGGACCCCATCGGGACGTCCACTGGAGAGAGTCGCCCTCCCCCCAGCCCGCCTCCTCCACCCCCACCAGGAAAACCAACCGCAGCTCTGACAGAAAGTGAGTGTTCAGAAGGCAAGAGTAAATAAGTTTAACATGAACTAACTTCTTTGTTTTTCTAAATTGAGTAAATCGGTCATTGCGATATTTGTAGTTTGACTGGGCTGCTCTGTTTGTAGACTGCATGATGCATCTACGTCAAGTCTCAGCTCTAAAGGTGGTGTAGTGCTCTCAACAAAGTGCCAAGTACAAATCAAGTCAATGATGTCAACAAAATAAAGTTCTGTACTGTCTATTGTTTAATGGATCACTTGGTAGCCTGGCCAGTCATTTTTACTCTTCTAGATTGAAAATCATAACCCGGAAAATGTGGTTATTTATGTGCCAATAAATTGTCTGTTTTGCATTTGTAATTCAATCTTTTTAGGTGAAGGGCTGTTACCTAATGTGCGTCAAACTGTACTTGAAAGAGTGTGTGGAGAATATGCACATTTCATGTGCATCCAGGACTATGCGTGCGGATCGCGGAGAATACATGTGCTGTGTTCTGTGTTATAAAGTTTGTATCTACATACATTCATAAAAGTCTTAACTGTGAGCCACTGCTGCAGTAAAGCAGCCTACTGCACTGAGCTGTGTGTAAAACAAGGACACTGCTTATACAAGGCATTAATTCATTTGTAAGCATGTTATTCTGCATATATTAAAGCATAATTGTTCCTATTTTATTGGATTAATGGGCTAAAACTCACATTTTAGAGACGTATAAAGTACATTTCTATGTAGCAGTTCCAATGACATTTTTTCATTAATTTTAACAAATAAAATTGCACAAAAAACGATGTATAACTATGTGCAGAAAATGCAAACACAATAATAGAGTAATAAAACAGTTTAAAAAACAGTTTAATTAAATAAGATGAGAAAGCTGCAGTCATGACCTCATACAGCACCTTGTCAGACCTTTTTCTTCCTCACCCATCGGGTTGCTTATGTTTTTGGAGTGTACACACGACACACAAGACAGGTGGCTGCGCTCACACCAAAAACCAAACCTATAAATTGTGATTCCCTTTGATGCTTGGATTAATTAAATTATTTTTTCTGATCAAATAAAACCCTTCTTTCCAAGTTTCACAAATGGATCCTTCCTGATTCTCTGTCCCTCTGCTCTCCTCATTGGTCTCTGAAAAGAGCACACAGCATACCATGATTTGAAGTTTGCGTAGCTCAACCTTGTGTGTCGTGTCGGACCCAGAACATTCTAGCTCTCATTGTTTATTATTGCATTACATTTAAATCAATGTGACAGGGATGAATGCAGACATGTCACAAGCCGCTAATGTTTGTTTTGAATTTGTCATCAGGTGACCGTTACCATTTAACCTCAAAAACAAACTTTTAGGGTCTTTCACATCACAATCTCTTATGTTAAAATGTAAAAAATATAACTAAATCGTACCGTCTTCACAGAGAAAATGGGATCATTAATTTTCTTACAAAAAGAGCAACAGTTACCATAGTTCATCTTCTAATGTGAATACAAAATCTCAAACATCACAGCTCTCCAGACTAATGGGGCAATCAGGTCATGAAATGACATGAAATATATATTGTCTTAATATCGTCTGGAGACGAACATTAGTAATCACCGTTCCTCTTTGACTGGCCAGGCTATCAAAAAGCATGCACTTGGGCATAGTTGTTTTGTTCACACATTTTGATTCTCTTAATGTGTAATCAGTGTTGGTTCTTTTAAAAGCTGCAGGCGCTCTTGGTCTCACCTGTGCCTGCTCTGAACTGTGTTTGTTGTGGCTGCGTTAGGCCTGGGAGCCGCGGCAGAGCAGTTGAATCAGACGGAGCTGGCGTTGCTGCTGAACCTGCTGCAGGGCCAGAGTGACATGAGCCTGCCCCAAGTGGCTCAGCTCCTCAACATGTCCAACACCGACACGCTCAGCCAGACCCTCTCCGCGCTCACCGACACGGCAGACCACCAGGGGGCGCCAGAGGAACGTCGGCAAACCGCTTCATCAACAGCTCCGCCCCCACCGCCTCCTCCCCCTCCTCCCCAAGAGACATCGCCCACGCTCAGCCAAGACGACCAGGCCAACCTGCTGGCTCTCATTTTGGGCCACATCATCAAGCCGCAGACTGAGGGGGCGGAACAAAGCGACGAGAGCAATGGCATCCAATCAGAGGAGGCACACGCTCGCGCCTCGTCTGCTGCTACTACTGATCGCAAGGGCAAGTCTGGGTTTAGCCTCTAGGGAGCTGCGTTTTTTCTGGGCAGAGCCGGGGTTAGGTGGCACGCACTGGGAACAGTTGGAAAAAAAAACCCTGAGATGAAATCAGAAGTAAACATTGCCTGGGATAGTCTACTTTGGTAAGGCAAAAATAAAGGATAACAAAAAAAATTACCAGAGAAAAGTAAATTTGGAGATTGTTGTGACCTCCATGCGTGACATTCCTTCAACAGTGCCACTCTCTGCATAACTGTGTTCATGTGACCTAGGCAGACTGTGCGCCTTCCTTCCCCTCTGAAAAAAGCCAATTTCAGAGCAAAACTACTAGCGCTCCGACTCGTTAGTTTCCCTCCTCGCTTTTCCCTGTCACCTCCTTGTTTGTTTTTTCACAATCTTTGTTTCTGTATCTGTCCCATTTCCACACGTTTTGTCTCATTATAGCGCAGGTGTCATGGATTCGCCGCTGGAAGTGATTTTTTTGCTTCTGTAATGTCAGCATTTTTAAGGAAGAAAAAAAATTAATAAATTCTCAAGTGAAAAACGTAATAAATGCTTTGAGTCTTTAGACGTCACCTGCATGTGTTATTTTTTTAACTTTGATTTTGTCACTTTTTTTCTTTTTGACTGTTTTCTGACTCATAAGTTCAACTGTGACCCAGTACTTTGAATAAAAAGTGTTTATTGAGCTGCTGACATGGAGATGGTAACTGTTGTGTCTCTACCTCCAGGAATCCCATTTACAAACTGTATCCACCGATGGATTCATTCTACAACACACCAACAATGACAACAATTAGCTCAGTTGGCAGTAGCTCAGTTGGTAGAGCGTTGGCCTTTGAGCCAGAAGGTCGTGGGTTCAAGCCCCGCTCAAGACTTTCACCATCGACTCCCACTGACTACTGTCGTTGTGTCCTTGGCAAGACACTTAACCTCTGGGAACACCAGCCACAGTGGGGCGGCTGTAAAGTGCCAAACTGCCGTTGTGTCCTTAGGCAAGACACTTCACCCCCATTGCCTAGAATGAGTCTGGTGTGTGTGTGAATGGTTGGTGGTGGTGGGAGGGGCCGATGGCACATACTGGTTGCCTCGCTTCTGTCAGTGTGCCCCAGGGCAGCTGTGGCTACATTAGTAGTTTATCACCACCGTGTTTGGAGTGAATGAATAATGACATGTGAAGCATCTTTGAGTGTCCAAAAAAGCGCTATATAAAACCGATGCATTATTATTATTATTATTATTATTATTAACAACTGATTATAACCGTTGTCACTGCAAACCAAATTTACCTTCAGGTGCCAAAATGAAAACAAAGCTTATTCCCAATTAGTCTATATAAAAATAATACTTTGAATGTGGTTAGAAACAACACATTTGCATTCATGCAATGTACAAATGTACAATTTTAAAGTTATAAAATGCCTCTTAAATGAGCGCAGACTTGCATCTTCACAAACCTGATAATCTTCCTCTGGCAGTAAACCTCTAGATATATAAAGGACTAAACTAGATACAGCTGTACACATTTAGCTACAGTATATCTGTGTCTTGTTTAAGCCTTTACAATATGTCTGGATGTCTCAAGCTTATAAAAATATTTCAAATTAACTTAGTACTGTAACCTTAGTAACTGTAAACTTCAAAAAGTGGCTTTAATTTGCTTTAATGAAAGACTAATACTTCACATTTCTGTAATCTGCAGCATTTTGAGAGCATTTTCCCATCAAAAAGATCCATTTTATTCAAGAATTTATTTGCATTATGCAGTAAAACCACATTGGAAAAAACAAAGACTGCCCCAGTGTGTTCAGCACACTGCTTTTTCAAAATTCATAAGTGCAGTGTTAATGGGCCCAGTTTGTATATTTGAATACAAAAGCACTATTTTAGAAATGTTTTCCCCTTATTTATTGCGGTAAAAACACATTTTGCACAAGTTTTTCTTAGGCTGTATAAATATGAGATAAAATAAACCTGGACTTGGCATTACAATAATTCATATTGACTGGGTTGCAAGAGCATCCTCATTTGTCTAATATAATTAAGTTAAATACAATAGATTCTGTTAGGTTTCCATAGTGTCTCACCAAACTGCTGCTGTTTAGATGGGCCTTCTTTGTGAACACCCATCTCAGCAGTCTCGGTCACAGTTCCTTTATTAAAGCTGGGGTACCTAACTTTTTATTTGTCCTAATAAATTAATTGTCCTAACCAATTTAAAAAACCAGACCACAAGATTCTTTCTTCATAACGTTAGACCACATTCGTATAACTTTTTATATAGAGTTCTGTGTGTGCAGAATGAGGGCTGGTTCTCTTTTCACTGGGAAATCTGATGTCAAACACAGCCATGGAAATTCTAGTGATGCAGAGCTAAGAAGTAATTGCATGCATTTAAGTTAAAGTGACTTCAGTGTGGTTTTAAAAGTTGAGTACCCCAGCTTTAACTTGCACCATATGATTTACCTGTTGCAGAGCTATCATTCATAAACCTTTGTTGAATTTCATGTGACTTCTCTGATTGTATTCTTTGATTTTTTTGCCTTTTATTTTGGTACTGCTACATTGTTGTGCAGGCAAGACTAATGTTCAAACTTTCTCTTTCAGCTGCCTACATAAATAAACAGACTTGCCTAACCCATTCCCTCTCCTCTGCTCAGATTCCTCCAGAATGAAGCCGTGCGCGCCCGTCCCGTCAGAGGAGCACCGGCCCGCGTCTCCTCCTCCACCTCCTCCACCCTCGAACCCGCAGCCCCCGCCCAGCCCAGCAGTGGCCGCCGCTCTCCTCCAGCTCATCTCCCACCAACAGGACTCGGAATCTCAGCCGTGCCAGGACCCTTCGCGCCCCCCTCCACCGCCCCCAGCCGCCCTGGTCACCACCGCTTCAGCCAAGAAGTTTACAAAAGACCCATCTACCTACAGGTTGATTCACAAATAAAGAAAAGCAGGTACCAAGAAGGTGTTTGAATGTTTGAGGGCCTTTCTATGTGTTTTAGTCGAGCTTGGGGGCTGGATATGATTGCTGCTTTAATTTATTTGAGAAAACATGCAATTGAAAGGCTTCGGACAGCTGGACCGAGACCTGATTGTCCTCCTCACTGCAGCTCAATGCCATGACTTCAATATAAAGCTAAGGGCCGGAGTTGAAATCCTAAGTTTTATCAACGCCACGTCACTTCTAGTGTATTTTGTGCCTCATTTGTGACCCATGAATGATTTTGGCCCCACAAGGGAACCAGTAATCGTTCTATTGAAATGATTTGTGTTTGCCAAAAGTTGCCTCAGTGATAATCCCGACAAAAATATTACCAATCAAAGTTTAGAGAAAGATTGATTGAAACAATTCTGGCATTTTACTGTGATGGAATCTTTATTGCTCATGTTTCCAATAGAATGACAACACTAATTCTTTCCATAATTCAGAAGAACACACTTTCAAAAACGGGCTTTCTTTAATTCTCTTTGAAGCTTCATCTGTCTCCTTTGTGCAACAATGGCTTTCCTCTTTTGTGCAATCATTCTCTCCCAAGAAACGGATGCACCATTTGAAACTGTCCCGTTTTCATACTTACGTTTAGGTTTTTTTTCTTTCCTTTGGACAAGAAAACAAAAAGAGAAAAGACTTTCTTGTGTGTGTAAAAAAAAGAGATAAAAATGAAAATATTTTGTAATGTTTTTGTTTTTTCGGTTCAGATTATTAAAAGAAAGTTATGTGACCGATTGAACCGTTTCTTTGTGGTTGTTGTTTTTAGAGCCGCCACTAGATGTCACTGTATGCGAGGATCATGCAGCGGTTGGCAGGTTGATGCCAGGTCACGTCAAAGAATGTGAAAGTGGCAGAGACACGACCATAGACGCACAACAAGTTAAATAAGAAGCGTCTTTAAGTATTCAGCACGAACAGGTGAATGTGTGTGACTTTGCTAATATGTATAGGTCACGTACTGCACATCTTGGATGATCTGTAAAGATAAAGAAACGATGACATTCAGTTTGACCCAGGTGTAAGCCTAAACACGTATTATTAAAAGAATGTTCGAAAAGAAATCCATCTATCTGGGATTTGTCTTAAAAAATGACTATATTCAGCACTAAACTAAATAATGTAAGATCTACTGTAGCACAAGTTAAACTAAAAAGACTATGCAACTTTACAATAAAGTTAAATTTATTGACTAGTTTTCTTATGTCCTATTAGACATGAAATAAGAAAAACTAAGGGTCCCTAAGAGTCACACAGGTTGCTGAAAACAGTTTTGTGTTGAACAAGTTAAGTTATTAAGTCAAAAATATAGATAAATGGATCCATACTCAAACTAGTATCAAAACTAGATACTAATTTGAGTAAGACTTCAGCTACTAAATAAAATGACTATACTTCTATATTACAATATTATGTTAACTGCATCCAACTATATTGCTGAAACCAAACCTTGTGGCCTTTTAAGAAATGCCATTATTTAGGGTTGAGAATAACTTTATTTTCCAAAAGAGAATTTATAAATACACACTGTGGTATTGAAGATGGATAGAAATCTAGTATTGTGCCAACACTAGTATCCTGTACCAGGGGAATATCTCAGGAAAAATACTGAACCAACAAAGTATTCAAAGTCCTATTTCTGCAGAGAATAAATACAACACCAAAAACTTGGATTCCACATCATAATTCAGATTATGTCCAGAATCTTAAGGGAGAAAAAACTTGACACTTTTGATTTGCTTATGAAATGATTCACAGAAGACAAAAATGCCATCAAATACAATTTATGCAATAGGATTTATATTTGACTGTTTGTCAATGACACGCGTGAATGTGAAGATTCAGTTAGTAATTTTAAACAGTGCCTTGTTAATATTTATGACCAGACTATTAACTTGGGTCATAATTTTGTCAGTTTTGGTAACAAATTAATTTATTCTCGCGTGTCCTCTTGCACAAATGAGCTGTCTGTTTTCACTGTCGGCGGAGGTCACCAGATTGTAGCTCTAATACATCGTCTTGTTCAACTCATTTCTGCGTCCACATTTGTTAAATAGTCCATAGTGCCGCGTTAACTCACATTATTAGGTCTATTAGTCACAATACTACTTAAGATTATATCAGGTAATTTGTCATTTACAAAACCTCTGCCTTTAAATCAACTAATGACTGTTAAGCTGTCATTAAATCCTGGTTATTTTGTAAAACGCTCATGAAAATCACTAAAGCCTTGATTAACTGCAATTGTTGTCTATTCACATGTAATTACTTATTTGTTAATGCTGTTTTACAACTGAATGAAGAGGAAATGTTGAAAGTTCTGCGATTGTTTGGACTATTTTTCCCTTGAAAAAGGTGCTGAACAGGTTTCAAAGCGAGAATACTCAGCTTTGTCTCAAGATGCTGAAATTGAATCACTGTCAACGATGTAGTGAGAAAAAAAATGGCTACCTACTAATTTCCAATACTTTTGACAACCCGTCTCATGATAGCCAACCTCACGGCTCAAGTCGGTGTTGTAGAAGGACAAGTTTCACCTTTGCGCCGTCCAAATTGTGCCGCGCTAAAAACCTTCCTCCCTGCATCAATCTCATTTATGTGTTGATTCGGGCACCACTGGGCTGATCTCTTTATGAAGAACCTGACAAGCTGACAAGGATCATAAACCTCAGATTGGCACCGGGGAAACCTTTGCACGGATAGCCTGTGTGTGTGTGTGCGTATGTGTGTGTATTCTCTAGCATTGGATAGAGCATCTCCATCTCTTTTTGGCTGCGGTACAGAGATGCTTACCCCTCTGGCCCGGGCACAGCTGAGCCCTCGCCGTGAAGAGATCCTTTCACAGAAGAGCGGAGCGGGGGCCTCACCTGCCCAAAAGCACCGTCCCAGTCTGAGCGAGATGAATCAGGCCGGAATGTGTGTTTGTGTGTGTGTGCGCTGTGTTGTCTCGTTCGGTTTCTGTCTATTGCCTTCACCCACTGGGACTCCAAATAATAGTGAATGTGCCCAGGGGGAGTTTCTCAGGCAGGAGAAGTATAGTGGGCAGTGCCAGTGCCAAGTCACAGAGACCTAGACGAATAAATCAGGGCTGAAGAGTTGAAAAGGAGGGAGTGTGTGTGTGTGTGTGTGTGTGTGAGTGTGGGGGGGGGGGGGGCTGGGCCATCAATCAGAGCGGCACCTTATGGGGAGTGCCCATAAACGTGCCATGCTGCCAGGCGGAGGCACAGACACCGGGCTGCATCCAAAATGGACGCGCACTCAAGATGCCACGGCTTCATACTGAGACAGACACGTTTGGGCAGAAGACGTTTGGTAATACATCAATGCATTTTTTTGTTGTTGTCAGAATTGGTAATAAAGTAGGGCTACAACTCACTGGGTAGGGACATTGATTATATAGCATGATATACCTTTTTTGGGTGAGATAAATTAGGTTAACAACTAGCGATTTTGAGCACGTATGGGTTTTTTCTCTCGTGTTAAGAATGCAAAAGTGTGAGGTTTTGGTACCGGGTTTGATAAAGCTGAAGTGATTGGGTTTATTCCTACAACCAAAATATCTTTAAAAATTTAGTGAATGATATAAATACTTTAAATAGATTACCTTGTTGCTGCCTTAACAATTCACATTCATATCCCAGTTCACTTTTTACCAAAAATACAGCATTAATTGTTGCTGAAAGTGATTGTTACTCTTCAAGAAAATTACGAGTCTGTGTCATTTCAATGTATATTTTAACATACATGCCCCAGACCCAAAGACAAATGTTGGTTTAGTTTCTTAGTCACTTTTAGACAAGTTATTTAATATTAAACTAAAGAATAGATCAATGTTTTTATATTGATGATGTGGTTCACTTTATGACCTGATTTGATCAAAATGACTTGAAGAAAATGGTTTATGGAAAATAACTTCTGAAACCAGTTTATTTTCATTGTAGCCAGAAAATAATTCATACTTAACCTTTACATGTTGAAAAGGACATTCATTTGAACTCTGTGTGAATATGTTTGAGAAGGGATAAGTGATGGGGAAACCAAACATTTTCACAGCCATCAAAAGCCTCCAGAACTGGACAACACAAGATTGCTCAAATATGCAAAAAAATAATTTTAATTTATCTCGGGAGAATATAATGACGAAGTAATGTTATTTTCATGTTAAATTTGACATGGCCTTTTACCTTTTAGCTGTCCCTGGAGCAAAATGTCTCCATTTTCAACGTTTCCCTACATTTTTCTTACATTTTTATTGTTTATTTATTTCTATTATCAATTTTTAGTTGCCCTCTATCTCTTTGAATAGTTTCAGGGCTCACTCTTTTGTTGAGTGGGTGTTCTTGTATTCTTTCATTGCAAATTTGGGCCAGTGCCGAGGGAGAATTCAAAGTTTACCCAATAAAGATCGTTTATAAAAATCCATTCTCTGATCCAATCGTTCAAATCTATTGATTCTTTCCCTTCTTTTGAACATTGAAACTGCAGCCACTACGCTCTCTTAATACTCATAAATGTGATAAACGCTGTTATATCTCAAGTGCCATCTCCACTTTTCATTCACATCACACCTTTGTCCAGGCCCCTCGGTGTGAGCTGCTTGTCCTGCTTTTGAAAAACGACTTGAGCTGAATTTCGTCTGAGAAAAATACACCTTTCTCTCGCAACCGCTCGGAGCAGTCAATCAAAAGTTAGTTCACGTGCAGAAAAGTTAGTCTGAACGAGCGCTGACCTTTTAGCCACTGCTGTAGTTTTATTCCGAAGCTGAAACTTGCTGAGCCCCAGTGTTTTGGGATTTCATTTCTCAACAATGTAAAAATCCACTCGCACCACCTGGCAAACTCCATTTATCATAACGGTGCAATGTTTTAATTTGGCAGAAATCAGCATGCAAGAAAAGGAGACGTGAGTGATGGACAAGGAGGAAGGTCACACATTCATAGTAAGCACTTTATTTT